AACTCCTCTAAGCCAATCTGGGAGAGCGTGTGGCATTAATAACCCACTGTTTCACTTGGTGAGCTCCTCAGAATGAAAATACCTCAAAACACATGAACGTCTCTGGATACCAATTATTGCCTCTACTTTTTCAGTGAGAGGAGATAACTGGAAATGAAAAAATTACTGAGAATTAGTCATGTGGGACTAGGTCATTTCACTAGGAATATTTACAAGTAAATTCTGCAGAAAGCCAAATTTTAAAGACCTGTAGTAAGAGGGATTAGTGAATGCAAATTCTAATGCTACTGTCATTATGAGGATGTGTGAAATTACAATAGGGAATTTTTATATACTTCCTTATCATATTTGGTTGTAACATTAGAAGAACAATAGTTATTAAAATGGCCATACAAGAGATGAAAAATTTTAAACATATGAAAGGCCACACTGAATTTCCTGGAACTGAATTTATTTCTGTGAACATATACATCAATTAACCTATTTGTTTAGGCAGAACAGTAACAGTCTTTCAGTTTCAAACTTCTTCTAGAGGGAATTCTCTCTGAATCTACAGCTTTTTGTATGCAGAACTTTTCATCTGTATAAAGAAAAAAAAAAGCGTCATCATTTTCAGGAAATCCAAAATACCATTTTGGTTAAAATATCAATATTCTTTTTCCTCTCAGGGCCTACTAGTCCACAATGACAGTGGCCACAGCACCAAACCAGACAAAGTTGAAGAGTTTGGAGCACACTCTCATGCACCTGGAGTGACTCTTGGGGTGTCCTGTGCAGGGCCAGGAGCTGGATTCAGTGATCCTGACAGGTCAACTCAGCATCTTCTGTGATCCTCTGATTCTATAAGCAGATGTCTAAGTCAGAGATCATTTCCTTTCAGCTGGGATGGGGGGAATCTGGTGAATATCAATTTATTTCTAAGTGCCATTGAAGTAACCCTGAACATTAGATTGCTAAGAAAAGGTTACTAATGATCCACATGAATTCACTGTCTGTGAAGTGCTGCCTCCAGAGTGATGTGAGAAACAGCCCATAACACCCAGAACCAAGGGGATTAGATGCCTACAAAAAAGCTGGATCTGACTTCTGGACAGATGAATACTTTCCCAGACTAAACTGTAAACCATTTCCACCAAGTAAACAGAGTTCTACATGAGGGACCAGACCAAAGTCTTCAATTACCACCCCTTCAACCAGCAGCTACCAATTCCCAGAGCTTGTCAGTGTGCAGAGCACAGGGCAAGCCTGATCCCTGTTGAATGGCCCAAGCTGTGACTAAGCCCACAGCAACGAGTTGCCTTGCTCCTGGCAGGCTGCCACATCCACTGATTTCAGTGAAGAAAAGTTACAGTTCGAAAAGGAGGAGGCTGGCCTGGTGCCCACAACCCTCTTCAGCAGAGTTAAACCACTCTGGCCTACATTTGCAGGCACATGTGGCCCCAAGCTGCCTGAGCAGGAACTGGAGAGCAGGGTACAGATGGTGCCTTGTGCTGCAGGGCTCGTGAGCATGCACCCCACAGCCATGGAGCCTGTACCTGCAGAATGGCACAAGGCATTCAGGGCTTTGTGCATGAAAATATCTTAGCAGATCCTGACTGGAAGGAGCAGGGGGAAGGACTCTTCTACATTGCAACTGCAGAGCACCCAGGGCTGGCACAGCTGGGCTCCTCACTGCTCTTGCCAACATCAGGCAGTCAAAAGGAAAAGACAGTGGGGAATTTCACCTGGAGTTCAGATTGGAAAATGTCTTACAGACAAGGATGGCAGAACTTAGAGTTAAATAAAGGCACTGTTATCTTAAATGCTGATGCTCTTTGAATTCTACCAAGAACAGTCTGCTCCTTCTCCCCACCAAAGAGAATGTGATAGTCACTCAGTGTCACTAACATCTCTACAAGACACCCAAAACTGCAAAATTATACAGACAAAAGAGGAGAACATCTGTTCATGGGTTCTGTACTTCTGTCTCAGACACTCATCTTCCTAAGGACATGAACAATGATAATTTTATTATCTTTAATGTTTTCCTCATCAAATTTCACTCCATTGTCTGTCCCAGACAAGGTGTACTGGGCAATAACATTATAAACTCTTCTTAATCTTGCTGTTATTTCAGCCCAAATTGATTTACTGGGGATTCTGAGCTCACAAGCGTAATATTTCCCATCCACAACAAAAACTCTACTCTACTTTATATTCTGTTATTTTAGAATATAATCTTAACCAATTCAAGTTTCTAGAATATGAGTTGTTTACAGTTTCAGCAAGAGAGTCCCTCTTTAATTTTTAACGTACATTTCAATTTTCAGGGACTTTATTAAAACATAATTTTTTTGATATGCTGTTGAGAAACACAAAACTTTCTCTGTAATTATTTACAGCTTTAAAATCAGTAATTAATCACAGTTTCATATTTTAGTTATGGTGGCATCATAGATTCTATAGAGTATCCTGTATTTGAGGACATTTAAACTGTTAAATGAAGTTATGACTCGTTATGGTGGCGTGGTGCCACCTTGTGAGGTTTCATCGTAAGTGCCTCTACCATGCACAAGGAGATAAAAATTAGTCCTAGGGAGAAAAGGAAAGGAGACTGTTCCTCTGTGACTGCAATAAATTGCAAGAGATTCCAACAGTGAGCCTGTTGACAAAGAAGAGCATGTGGTTATTGGTTAAGAAAAGAGCATTCAGCATATTAAGATTACATTAAAGGGCATGAGAGGGCACAAAGAACTGCAGCAAAACCTCAAGTACTTTCCCCAACACAGATCCAATTACAGACATGAGTTAATTCCACTGAAGTCAGCAGTTACTGGAGATTAACGTGGAAGTAATGCAAATCAGATTTTGGCCTGCAGGCTGTTGCAAATCTTGGCTTACAGTATTTCCTTAAAACAACCATCATTTAAAATAACCAAGTTATTTCTTACTTTTTGATACTGTTTTATTTACTTTCACAACTCTTTTTTTGTCTCCAAGATGCTTTAACTGTATATAAATGAGAGATCACACACACAGCTGTTTTGATTGAGGCTTTAGGTAATAGTTTTCATTTTTCTTTGTCCATTTTTGAAAAAATATAGTAATGTCTGTTTATTTTTAACACTCTTCTGCAATTCAAAATGTATGTCCTCTTACTTTTGGGCCAACTCCAAAACTGTTTTAATCTAAACCTCTTTTACTGTTCCAGTTTCTTTCCACGTGGCCTGATAGTTCTTTTAGAGTAAGGCTGGTTGAGGAAACACTTGCTAGAGAATCTGCTAGATTGTGCCAATAATTGTACAACTGCCAAAGTCCAGCAGGTTTGGTACCTTTTGACAGGATTAAATTTGCATCCCACTGAACTACTCACTCAACAATCTTGCTGGAAGAAAACTGCTAGTTGCAAGACATAAGCTACAGTCAACTGTGAAAGCACCAACACAAAGCTCTTCAGAACTCTATCCCTCACCTTTGCCATCAGGGGCTGGAAATACTCACCCACCACCAGGCAGTGCTGAAGGATTGAGTGCACAGACCTCTCTCAAACGCCAGGGACACACAATGTTGCTCTGGTTTTTGTTACAGGACATGAATGCAAGTCAAAAAAATAAAGGCAGTTAGGACAGCTGCAGACATCTGTATCTGTAGTATTTTGCTAGAACACATCTCTATGAACAGGAACATTTCTCCACAACGTGCCCCTGGTTTATTTTTCTCTTTGTTTCTCAGCTCAGGTGGATGACTCCAAGGTCAAACGTCTGGCTGCAAGCTCCCGTGTCTCCTAAGGGCTTTGTGGCATTTAGGTCAGAGAGGACCCAGGGAAACAAGACACTGAGCACTTCCAAGGCCACTCATCCTTTAAGAGCAGAGTATGATATAACCCAAGAATGACACACAGTGTCAGGAAAACAGGAATTTTAGCTAATAACAATCATAACACACAGAAGAATGCTGATGCCAAAAGGAACTGAGCTATGTCATCAGCACCAGATCCTTTTTATCTGGATAATCTGATCCCAAATCTTGTAACCTAGTATTTTACAAATACATCCTAATCATATCTTCCTACATACCTCACAAGGCTTCCAAGATTAAATGTCTGTCTTGAAATAAATTTTTATAAATTAGGCTGGTCCTTCAATTAAGAGGAAGTAACTTTAACATAATCTCTCTTAATGCCAGTGTCTTGCAAATATTTTGAATCAGCTGATACACCTAACTTAATCTGCTCAAAATGAAAAACAGGCTTGAATCTCTTTTTACTCAATCAGAACTTAATATGAGAATTAATTTCTGTTAACTTTAACTTGGGTAAGGGAATTCAGTTTTAATTTCTTTATCTAAACAGAAATCAGTAGGAGGAAGCATTAAAATGCTATAAACATCAATGACCATGATAGCTCTAAGATATGTATTACAAATAAATGTAAAAATTATTGTCATTTTCACTGTGCAATCTTAGACATGTCTGTCCTGTATACTTTGAATATCCAAAATTTCCATTGAATCTTTTAACGTACACACATGCTGCTAGACAAATATTTCTTCTTTATTCATAGTGTGTAAATCTGAACAGCAAGCTACCCTGCAAGCTCACCACACAGAAGAGTTTCTGAGGTAGACAGGCATCACCATCCCTACAGAAATGATAAACAGGTTAGGTTCTCTATTTTAACAGTTTTCTATATAACACATTTCATTCTTTGAGAGATTTAACTTTACAGTAATTGGAATAATGATCAGAAAGGAAATTAGTATGTGGTCAGCCTAAAAATTCTCAAAGCACAACAGAATGCTTCAAAAGTTTTAATTGTGATGACCTTGATACAGAAGCCATGTAAGTGACAGAGCCCTTCTATTGACTGTTAGAACAATAATTAATACACATATGATTGTCTTCAGGTCCCAGTACCTAAACAATACTGGAAGTAAAAATTAAAAAAAAAAATTAAAAACCCCAAAACAACAACAACAACAAGAAAACCCAACAAAAAGATCTAGCTGATTTCCAGCTGGAGAGGAAAGGAAAAGATAGAACTGCATTCATGCATTTTATGGGAGAGATTGCATAGCTTGTTTCAAAAGAAAATATCTTTTCATGTCCTTAATAGTAGTTCTGTGCTTCTTCAACTTCTTCATGAGTTACAGATGACCATGTTCCTCCATTCAAGAACATTATCATATACCCACAGAATGAGTAAAATGCAGGAGCCCCTTTGAGAATAAGGACACAGTTTTAACATTTATCTTGGGAAGAAATTAATCACGTACACAATTATCATATACAAAAGGCAAATATTTCAAGTTTTATAAGGACACAACAATCCATAAAATATTGGTTGAAGGTAAGCACCAAACCCAGCAGTTGCCATTTTAGTGGCTGAAAGGCAAACCTGGGCTGTGGCTGTCTTCAACACTGGGAGCTTGATCTTGACTGCAGTTCTTTCACCTCAGGTAATTTCCATGCAAGATCCCAGCTGTACAACACAGTGATAGAGGCATCTCATTATTTAAGGCCCGTGCTTTCTTTCAAATACTCTTGGAAAACACACCAAAGTTAATCTCTCAGTTTTTTTGGTTTTGGGTTTTTTCACTATTAAGAGCAGTATTAAATATTCATAAATATAAAAACTCTGTGGAAATACCTTTAATAATACTCTGATTCTGACTGTTAAAAAAAAGAGGGAAAAAAAGAAATACCACAATCCAACAACCAATCATCTTCGCCAGAGTGCTTGGCCAGCAGAGAAGATAAAAATGTGTCAGTTCCAAATATCCTGTAGATCACATGATGCTTCTGTCTCTTTGTGGACCAGAATTCTTTCTGTACTTTCTGCTGAGTTCTAGGAAGCCCTCACTAGAGGACAAAAATCCCTAGAGTGCCTGAGATTCAGAAAGGTTGGACTGGCAGAAACATCTTCAGATTCTTATGTGGAAAGTACTGCAAAAGAAAGAAAAATATTAGGACATAAAAACACATTTGTCACTATGCAAAAATTTTTTCTTTAAGCACACACAGGAAGGTGTGTGAAAAAAAAATTACTTTCTTCTTTTGTGCTTTGAGAAGATTTAAATCTCATGGGAGAAAATTCCATCTTCTGAAAATGTTAGCTCAGGGGCCAAGCTCAATACTGGATTAAATCAAGTCTAAATTGCCCAATTTATTGGCTGCAGAGCTGATGCCTTGGGAAGGCTGACCTATGTTGAGGTGTGTGGTTTTCATTGTAATTCAGTCCTAGTAGTCAGTTTTAGAAGGCCCCTTATTTTGTATTGTTATGGCATATTTTATTATTAATGGATTGCTCCTTTCCCCCCGTGTTGTTGGTTTTTGCCCTAGTTGTCCATCTCCCCAAAGATCTGCCCTTTTGTTCCCTGTTCCTCCCCCCACTGAATGTCAATCCCTCCCCAAGCCTGCCCCTTTCTCTAGAAACTTCCCTATCAGTTTTGTATCCTTCGAGGCCCCATTGGTTTAAGTTTTTCTCCTCCCCTGTAGTCCCCTATTGGTTTAAACATTGTATTCCCCGCCTTGTGTTCCACCCCAGTTTCTCCCAGTTGGTTAAAGATTGTATCCTCCCCTGGCACCTCTGCTCATTTATAAATTGATGCATGACTTTGAGTCAGTGTCTTTCTGTCCTTTACCCTCCAGGGAATAAACTCCTTTGAAAACATACACAAGACCTCTTTGTGTTCCTTGTCCCTGCCCTCAGTGCAGTCCTATCCCCAACACAGTCCACCTGTGCCCTAGAGCAGCTGTGCCCTAGAGCAGCTGTGCCCTAGAGCTGCACCCCAGATTCCACAGCTCCATGGGGGCGGCCCGCTCTCGCTGTCGGTGTCAGGAGCCAGTCAGGCTGAGGAAATCCAGTACCACAGCAGACCTAGGCCAGAGGCTAGCTAAAGGATAAAGTAGGGATTTACTAAAAGATCTCAAAAGATCCACCTTGAGCAGTACAAAAGCCCAGCCAGGGCTACACTAAAGATGAACCAAAATGGACAACTGACCACGAGGTCTCTCACTTTTATAAGTCCTGCTCCATTTGCATATTGGGGTTAATTGTCCAGTTATCACTCTAGGCTATGGAGTCCCATCCTTCTTGTTTTTCTCTCTCTTCAGTCAACATCGTTTATGCTCTTGGGCCTGAGATTTGGATTGGTTGTCCTTGGCTCCAACCTAGAGAAGGAATTGTTTTATCTCCCTACTCTGTGAAGAGAGCTTACCATCCCATAATATGAAGCTCAGAACTACACACGAAAGTAGTAGAGAATCTGAAAAATAGAAAAGCTAAAGCCTAAGGCATCAGAGCAGAGCTAAGTGTTTCCCAATGGTACTTTTGCTATGGCACAGTATTTGGGTCCTAACCAAGACAAATTAGGCAGGTAATTTTGTTTTTCTTGTTGAGCCAAAGAGATTCTGGTGGTTAGCCTCTATTTGTTCTTTAATACAGGCAAGCAGCATGGCTTACAACTGCCACCAGGCTTCAGAAGAGCTCCCAAGCATCTCAGCAGGACAGGGAGAGACAATTTTAAGAGGGTATGCTGAAACCCCACTGTCTATAGGAAGCAAACTGTTCAATGTCATGACAATATCAACTGTTTTTCTCGACTGACTGAAAAGAGATTATTATGTATTTTTGTATGTAAATTCTGTAAGTTTGTTGCTTACACTGAAAGAAAACCTTTTTGGAAGATATGAGAGGCTGCAGACTTTCTGGATGCACGAACTTTGGATTTTGTTTTACCAAAAGAATACTCCAAGTTAATTACGGCTATTAGATTTGAATCAGAAATTCACTAAAGGAAGCTTGTGGCATGTATTTGGAGGAGATAAAATTTCATATTCACCATGGTCCCTAGGAACCTTGTCTCCAGGAGTTTATTCAGTCTGGGTGACAATAAAAGATATGCTGTATAGCAGCCTGGCACACCAGCCTGAGCACTGTGACACAAAGCAGATAGTGATGCAAATAGTTTACTGGCACTAAGGTTTTTTAAATAAAAGAATTATAAATATCTTGTTCATAATTCAAGAAATGTCTAGAGACTATATAAATCCAAACTGTTGAAAATTTAACTCCCATGCAAGTAATAAGGAGCTAGGAGCTAAAAATCCATCACATTGTATGTGAAAACATTTGAGGCATGATTCCCCAGAAAAAATCCACCCAAATCCACCTAACTGGAAATCAATTTATTAGAAAAATTTCTGGTTTTATCAGAGTGTCATTTTGGCCTTTGAAGATTCAGCTGTTTACTAAGAAGCACCTAAAATACTCTGAAAAAAATACTGGCAAAAATTATTCCCTTCTACTGTTTCTTTGCTAAGCATCTCTTGCCAATTAGTCACTAGCTCTAAAATTAGTCCTTAAGAACCAATTAATCTGCATGTTGGGACAGTCTTATGAGAGATGCATTTCCTATAAGAGAGCTTCCTTTACTTCAGCATTTGGTTGGATTGGGGTCACAGAATCAACTAGTGTCTGGGCAAAGGCCCACAACAGTTTCAGAAATACTGCATTTCCAACGTTTAATGTGCTGTTTCCCTGTCTGGTTCTGGCAGTTCCCAGGTATTACTAATGCCATATTCCTCTCAAACCCCATTATCTATTGTTACAGCAGGCTTCACCCTCAGGCATTCAAAAAAGCTGAAACTTCCAGGATGATTTATAAAACAATTTCCTGTGGAAAACGTAACCAGTCTTGTAGAACAGAACACTTAGCTAGTGCCAGCTCAATCTGCCAATGCTTCCATTAAACTACAAGCAGCTTCTTAATGATAACAATTTTTAGTGAAATAAAACTATTGGGATCCAATTTTCTGAACTAGTAACTGTCATTATCATTTACAGCTTAGTTCAGCTTCTGGGATAACAGCCAACTGCATAGATGTTCCCTGGTTAATGATTAACAGTGTTTTCTTCTAGTCTGGAAAAAATTCCTCAATGACAGCAGTGCAAATCAAGCAACAGACTTTACTGCATCTTCATTTGCCTGACAGCAGCACAAAGCTGGCAAAGGCTGGCTGTAGGAGATTAAACCTACACTGGGTCATTAAATAAAGGTTTGAGAAAGGAGTGATGAGATAAGGAAAATAAGTCAACCTAGAGTGGATGAACTTCAGCTCATAGCAGGTCAAAGCCTGGATCATGGTGTCAAAGTTAATGCCTGCTGTGTATGTTAAGTAGGCGTGATAATGTGACAGCTTAAAAAAACCCCAACATGTGCTTCATAACCTGAGTGCATATTGCTACTAGAATCTGGCCTTCAAAGGTTTTCCACAGAGTAAAGAAGGTATTCCTCCTCAGTAACTTCAAATCTTATGCTGCTGCTGCTGATCATTTGCAGCTGAATGAAAGTTCTCAACGTTTGTCACAAGTCAGGTAAGCACTGGCCACGCATTGGAGAGCAGAGAGAAAAAAGTGTTCTATGACTTTGTACAGATCACCTGCTCAAGCAATGGCAGAGCCAGGGGTAAAACCAAACTGCCTGGAATCCTACATTCCCCCTTTTATGATGTGAAGAGGTGGGGACAAAAGGAAAAGAACAGAGTAAATCCTTTATTACAGATAAAAATCATCTGGGGCCTGTCAAGTTATTCAGCATTTTCAGAAGGCTCTCATACCACATTGCCAGGATGGTATTCTGGGATCAGATGTTCAGAATTACTGACTGCCCATGGCTTCACAGCAAAATCCCTCCAAACTGCAGTTACCCAGCATCTGCAATTGCTCACTGGCAATCATTTTCAGTGTGGCTATTGCTTTGGTTCCTAGGTGTTCCATTTTCACAGTTGCTGAGCACCTGGAAGTGTAAATCATTAGACTCTTGGGCTTCCTTGAATTTAAATTCTGGAATGCATTCAACTGTGCACAAAAAGTGGAGATAAGCAAAAGCAAATGAAATTGTGATTGCCTCTGGACATTGATGGGTTGGTATTTCTTCCACACGTCTGTTTAAGATTTCGAATGGCCAATTTATTTTAGATGAAAGCATGTTTTTATATCTTTTTGTAATAGTAAGAAGCTAGTTCAGTTTTCCACTGGCATAGAGGGTTGGTCATCTGCTATTCAGACACTTCCTGTGCTTTGCATGCTCTGTAGTAGATTACCCAGTGAAGCTGCACAGCCCTGCCTGCCCTGTGGCTGCACACAGCCCAAGGCTATCATTTAAGACAACCATTACAGCTGAAAACTCAGAAGAAAATGAGAGGCTAGAGACAGAGGTGGAGATGAATTCACAAAGATGTAAGAAAGCATTGTTTCAGTAAATGAATAGGTAATGTTTCCAAGACTGTTATGGCACAAAGAACTGGGCTTTTTGTGGTGAGAGATCAGCTACAGGAATTGCATTCTTGTCCATGTCACAAAGTCTGTCACATGCTGGCAGGCACTGGCTCCTGCCAGAGCATGCTTGTTTAGGTTCAGTCCCAGTCAGACTTTGATGAAGTTATTGTGGCATTAAACTTAATGAATTCCATTCCAAAAGTCAAATCTCTCTTTAGAATGCAGTATTTACCCAGTATTTAAAAAATTAGAATAAGTTCCTCAGAACAGGAAGTTCAGTATTAACAAGTATGCCAGTCTGTGATGCAGTGCATACAGGAAAAATAGAACTAACAATGTCCTAAAAAAATAAAATACCTTTACAGACAAAAAGAACAGTAAACCACAGTAAGGCAGAGGTATCAAATCTTTCATGTAAATCAGTTTGGATAAAAGTAGTCTTATGACCCTGTCGCTTTCTTTTCCTGCAGCTGTTAACTCTTAAAATTAAAATAGAAACCAAACTAGAGAACTTACACATTCTCAGCTCTGAGGCTTTTTTCCATTACATTCTCATTTTCCAATATAGCTTCAAAGACACATGTTGCTGAACCATAAGAAGCATCAGATTCTTCAGAGGATTCTAATATTTTCTTTACATATATTTCCAGCTAAGAAATTGTTTTCTTTGTACTGTTATCCCCACAGAAGCTGCTTTTATACAGAAACTGCCTGGGCAGAGGCTCTAAACCAGTGTTTTGGTTAGGAGGTGGAAGGAGACCCTTCTATATATCACCAGGAGCTCTTAGGCTTGAGGACTTCAGAGATGAATCCCATGACCCAGCTAAACTCCTGAACCTGAATGGAGGGGCAAGTCACGATTCCTCTGGAAGCCAGGGACGCCAAACATCAACATTAAATATGCACATTGCCATCTTAAACCTGAAGGAGATATCTTGTCACAGACACAGATCCAAGTACATGTGTTTAAACTGAGCAACTGGCCACTCAGTCTTTCAATACTTGGTAGCCTCGTCCTTTGATTTTATGGGTACTCTGCAATTTCTCTCACCTAATCGATAATACACATCCCACTTCATCCCACTTTTTACTCATCATCTTGCCCTGCTAAATAGCCAGCACTCAGTGATTTTCACTTGTTTCCTCATCTTCTCAAAACATCACCTAACTGGAAAAGAAAAATAATTGTGACAGTCATTCCAATGGCTACACTGGCAAACATTCCTCTCTGCAACTTTCTCAGGAAATGACTGGACTGCACAGCATCCTCAGCTTGGAATTCTCAGTCAGCAGTTTGCAAGCCTCTACAACACAGCAGTAAAATCAGTCATGGCACAGGAAACTTCTGAAACTGCAGTTTCTACTGAATCTTCAGATCTGCCTTCAATTCTTCACATTTGATCACTGTTCTCTACCAGATTTGTAGGAGCAGCACAGCCTTTTGATTGATTAAAGGAAACCCTACCTGATCCCAGCAGCTTCTAGGATGGCAGTATAAAGATGATGTTTTCTTAGCTGGAAGTATCTGTAAACAAAATATTAGAATACCTACTGAGCTGAGCCTCACCATAATGATAATACATGTCTTGTTCTAAAGGGTTTCTGTTGATACACTTGATTAGTCAAAGAATACCTGAAATGTATAAAAGACATTCACATTGAATGTCTCCTCTCCAGAAGCTGATGTTTCTCAAGGTTCACTGGAATCATGTGCTTCTGCTTTATTGTTGAATCGCTTTTAACCTCTTTCCTCAGAAGTTTCATTCATGAAAGAAATACTATTCTGTGTTCTGCAGGACACTTTACAGTTCTTCAAAAAACACTTTCACAGCAAAGAGATCAATGTCTTTCTATGTATATTTGTAACATGTATACAGTATTTACACACATTCCTATGCAGACAGCTGGGATCCTTGCTATAGGCTTAATCCTTGCTTTAGGCTGAATTTGAGCTCATAATGGATCAAAGTATTTTCCTGAACTGCACCAAGATGGGTGGAGGAGCAGGAAAGGTGATAATTAAAAGTCATTGAGGTCTTAGTCTTAAATTAGGAGAGAACTGGAATATGCCCTGGAAAAGTAAACTGAGTTAGGTAAGAAGTCATCCCCTAGTGCGTTCTCTAGTAAAATACTTACATATGACACTTCTTGTATTAGACTGCACAGTGATATCCTAAAACATACCTGCAAGTATGCAAGAGACTCTGCTTTTCTTAAAATAATACCTGAGAAAGTCTGGTGCCTTGGAAATCATGTTTTCAAAATCTGCAAATCCTAGTTTCCCATCACCATCCATGTCAGCTTCTTCTATCACCTTCTCACAAACCAGAGTGATTTCCTCCGCTGTCAGCTCTTCTCGGGTCAGCTTATTGAGGGTTTTTTCCAAGTCTGCTTTACAAATGAAGTTATCTGTGTTAAAATCTAAACAATAGAAGAACCAAAGATCACCAAGTGTACCACTCATTTACTCCAAACACAAAAAGCACACCAGAGCCCCTCCACACAGTACCATAAATCTTAAAGGCATAGATTGCTTTCAGCTCTCGGGGAGCCATTTCACTGAGCACGGAGAACATATCCACAAAGTCATTGAAGCTCAGGCTCCCCTCTCCATCTTCTGAGAAAGATGACACAATCCTTTCTTTGAAGGGATTCTCCTGTGAAAGACACACATAGGCTGGAATTTGGAAGATGAAAAAATCTGCAGACTCCTTGATAGTGAATATTTAATTGCATAGTTGGCTCTTTAAAGACATTTTTTTTCTCCCCAAAAATGCATCAAAAAACTTACATTTGTATGCTTTAGCAGGAAGTTTCAGCAGTCCTTGCTGCTGCATAGTACCACTTCTGACCTTTTACTTTCACTGACACATGTCAATGTCCAGCCTGTGGTTGGATTGACTAAAAATTCCAGAAATTTAAATGAAATATAATCACCACTGGAGATGATCCAGAAATCATTTCTAGCACCTTAGAATAAGACAATATTCTAAAACCATAAACACACAAGCAAGCATAAGAAAATCTGCTTTATCACTATGAAATCCAAAACAAATGTTTTTACAGTAAAAACCCATTGTCTTTCTCAGAGCTTACAAAACCCCAACACTAATTTGTAGCTGTATCAATAAAACTTGGAAAACCAGTTCAATTTAGTTGAATATGAACAGAACACAAACATCACTTGGGCTGTGAGCAGCATCTCATGAAACCTGTGATACAGATCTCATCTGAAGCCAAGACACTGATTAACATACTGATCCATAAATATATACAGCTGTGCTGGTGGCATATCAGGTTCACTATTTTTAATATGCATGCAGCATTTTGTTTGGCTTTTAAAGGAGCAGTACTGTGAAAGCTCAGAAGTTCAATCATATCTCCTTTTAATTTCTTTTTTTTTCCCAGTAAATTTAATTGCCTAACAGGTATTCATAAACCATCCTGTTATTTTAAATGAAATTTCAAGAACTAGCTATATTTGAGAGACAAATGACCAGAAAATGTTGTTTTTCAGTTTACTTGAATTTTTTCTTGATAATTCACACATAGAACATAAGCATCTATAGAAGGCATTTTTGGCATAACTGTGGTGACTAAAACAGTAATGACCAGGCTGTTTTTATGGACAGATGAAGCAGGGACCACAGGGCCTTAGGCTCAAATGCCAGCCCAATAAAGTAGTCAATACTAAATACAAATTCTCCTGCAGGGTTGGATGACTGAAGGAATCCACAACTGGGAACAGGCCTACAGATTTCAAAGGATAGGAGATTAATGAGTTCACTGTTCAGATGAAGACAAAACCAGGGCAGATAAAACCAAATTAAATAGAATAGAAAAGAGGGATTCCTGAAAATAAAAAGCAGCCTCAAAAAACAAAAGGGTCACATCTCTCCAGAGCATGAGAATGAAAAATAACACCCCAGACCCAGGCAGATGGCTGAGAGAACCTCACTGTAAAAGGATATGTAGTGATCACTCCTGTCTCATGAATGATGTGTAGGTACAGCAGGTGTGCATCTGTGGGTACTGCTCAGGTTAAAGTATCTCACTTAAATGCCTGGAAATGGCCCTGGAGATATTAATGGAATACACATTTACCTGTTTGTGGGATTTCCCTGTGGTTATACACATACACCTGTTTGTGGGATATGCACACACAGACATGCAAGGAGGAACGATTGGTTCTATTGTTTCAAACTGCCAGTTTATAAATAAACCAAAGTAAGATTTGGGCTGAAATATATGAAAAGGCCCACTTTCTTCCTAAAAGCACACCAAAAAATAGTGTGCTTTTTGTTTAATAATTGAGAATGCCAAACATCAGAATGGGCATCAAAACACATTAGAAATTTATTTTTCATTTCTAAAATGTTGTGTAGCTTTCTTTGGAACAAACCTGATGAGGAGTAAGTGTCATGGTAACAGTAGTAAAACTGACATCTTAGAGGCAGCATTGGGTAACAAACCAGGAGCAGACAGATGCAAATATCCTTATCAGCAGTGAATATCAAACCCAGGACTTGGTGCTTTAGAAAGGCTGGGGCAGGATCTCACTGACTCAATAAGCATATTGCAGTTGCATAAGATGAGTTATTTATTTGGCATGTCAGAGGTCTTGAAAATACAGATCAATTAAGAATGAATTCAATGAACCTAAGCATACTTCTTAAGTAACTCTTTGCCAAATGGATCGCTAAAACCAAAATGAAAAATAAAATCTTTCCTCATATTGATTTCTTTCCTTTAACTTTCTCATATTATGTGACTTCAGGCAGTATATCTGTGGCTTACACAATGGAAAGTATTAGCTTACCTTCACAGATACTTTTCACATCCTTTCTGTAATTTCATTACCTCTACTCTAAAGAGCACAGATTAGGGTTCCATCATATTTAAAGGAAGAGCCATGGGGGAAGGGAGTAAAGGGGAAAATTATATTGTTTTTTCCTAGATTGCTTTCCCATAAGCACTAATTGTTGAAAAAAATATTCCTTTTAAAACTAGAAACTTACACTTGTCTTAAAAAGCTTTTTCTGTAATCTCATGATAAAAATGAGAGGGGAGACAGAAACAATAAAGCATCGCCAGAACCAAAAACCAACTCTGCTGTTTTGCAGATTGATGTTGTTGCTGTAGTGGCTCGAGAGAATCCTAAATGTGCAATCCATCTTTGCAAAGAACACTTCTTTTACTCAGATAATTGTGTTTCTGTGCATTTTAAAACCTTACACAGCATCTATTGCAACATTCAGACATTTAACAGCTTACAATAAAACACAACCATTAGTTTTCTAACAAACTGTTTGAGGGTTTACTCCTGGCATTGCAGCTGAGTCACCTGTTATATTCTTCTGTCCTCTGGTTTCCATCCCAGACTCTAGGAAAGTACTCTGGTGGCCTTTTGCCTTATCTGCTTTGTAGTTTGAAGAATTAATTTCAAGCATCCAATCCTATTCCCACAGGCTGACTGCATTTTGGAGATAAGAGGTTGCAAATGAAGTTCAAAGATGGGTCAAGTTAATTAAGTTGGAGATACCAGAGAGTCATTACAAAATGCTGCTTAATTTTTATATCCACAGAAACACAATGATGACTTTCCCTTTTGTATTTGAACATAAGTCCCCACTGACTTTAGAGAATATATTTAAAAGCACAAAGCAGTCTGTTTTGCAGACTATTGCAAGTCAGAATCCTTTTGGATGCTTTAATCAGGACTTTTTCAGCAATGGGAAAAACTAGCCTTTCTCAAATTTCAGGATTATTCCAAAACAGAGGGGGAAAAAATTGCTATCAGACAAACATTAATATAAAAGTAGCTAAATTGTTAATTACAAAAGCTCCATAGGAAAGACTGGTGCTTCAAAAGGGAAGCATAAGTGCGACAGCAAATTGTCCCTGGAGCAGAAAAAAGCAAGTTTCTTTGCAGGGTTTTTTTCTTAATTTTCTTCTTCCTCAAAATCAATAACCTGGGTTTTATGTTTCTATGATTATATTAATGTCATCAAACTTCTCTGCAGTGCCTGCAGGGTACTATTTAAGAAATTCCTGCAGAAACCAAGGCTAAGACAGAGCTAAATTGGTACATTTATGTCTTAATGGAAAAGACCATTTTGTTCTGTCAGAAAGCAGAAGCATATTAAGTTCAACAATGACTCTTTACTGAAGTCACAACAACCAAAAACCCAAAGATTCAAGCTGTATATAGAATTGCTTAAATATTACAGAACCTACCAGCACCTCGTGGGAAGACAAGGCATTGTGACAAGAACTGATTCCTAACTATGAGAGGGAAGTGTACAGACAAGGCTGCAGGGGAGGTGCAGGCCTGGGGTTTGATGCAGAGCAAACAGCCCTCGCCTAGGACACTTGATAAAGAGACTTCAGAGAAGCAAGGAGAGTGGTTGGAGTCAAGCTTTGCTCCTCCAAAGGGAGTAAAACATCCCATCATAACCAGGAACAACGAACACAATGCAGCAAGGATGTTGAGATGAGCTGGAGGCAAAAACCAGCCAGAGCAGGGCTGGGGCTTGGGAAGATCACCCTGCCCTGGCATTGCCCTTTACACAGAAGGCCCAGGTGTCACTGCTCAGTGCACAGAAAGCTCTGAACCTGAAGAACTTACTGAAATCCCATCTAAAACCTCCTCCCCAGTGCAGCTTACAACAAGGATCAGTGAAGTTCCTGTGTGAGCCAAAACGCAGGAAGCAAAAGACTCTAAAGTGAGTGAAACAAAAGTGGTTCCCCTCCAGCAGCCCTCAGTGCCCAGCTCTGGAGAGAACGATTGCTCTGCACTGCAGTGCCCACAGAGAGCTCACAATCTAGGGAAGAGGCAATCTGGGATGTGGGTAGGGACACCCACCACTGCTACCAACCACAGGGTCTCTGACACCAGGTTACATTCCCACCTGCAGCTCTGGGGCAATGACAGTGATAATGTGACCAAAATCAGCTTTAATTTGAAAATTAAACTTTTGCTTTCTCCCTAGTCCCACACTGAGCAGTCCATACCATGGCTACAGTTTTGCTATATTAGTTACTGCCATCTCACAGGTGTCCAGATGCCCCAAAGTTAATTTATTAGACTGGTGCCTGTGTAACCAAGATTGTGAAAATTAGAGAACAGAGACTGCAATGAAACTGATGGAGGAAAGTAGCTCTGTTAACTTCACTGTAATGGTAGACCTAATCACCTGAAAGTACCTTCCCCTTCTTTATTTATTTATTTCTTGTCCTAACTTTCAACTTTTCAGAATCGGGAGTTAGTGAATAATTCATTATCAATTAAAGAGAATGACCATCAGCATTTTTTTCCCTTGAAACACAAAACACCTGGCTCAAAGCTTTAATGCATGAGGTAAAGATCTTTCTTTATATTAGCAGAATCTAATTTAGAAAAGTGCATTATTGATTCTATCCGTTTGTCAGAACCTGCAGTGGCATTGAGCTCAACATTGCCAGTAACTAGAAATGTAATGTGTATATGAAAAAAGCCAGGTGCATTGAAATTAGCACTAATTTTATTAGAATTCAATAGACATTTAGGTCATTTATTTCTATTTTAAGAAGTAAATGTTGTCTTTGTCTTCACCTTGATGAAAATTTACCAAAGAAAACACCATCATGATTTGTTAGGCAGTCTGGTCAAGTTGCAAAGGTCAAAGATTTTTTTCTTAGTGTATGAGCTGAAGTTAGTACCTAGGTTGCTTCAAAAATAAACTCTTGATGAAAGCCTCTCTCCCCCTCACCCACACCTGCACAGGTGCCCACAAGATGCTTCATGAGCAAGATGGACCCCAGTTTACAACAAAGATCCCAGGCATTTTAACACCTTTTAGTGTCAATGCTTTGAAAGAGTTCTGGAATATCACCTAGTCTCCTCCTGCTGGGATTTTACTGGAAACAAGCTCAGTAGCTATTGAAAGCACTTTTCTCTGTGAGCTCCCAGAATTCCTGAAATAAAATGAGTGGTTTGCAATCAATATTTCTAAGGTTCTTCCACAGACTTATGAGACCTGAGAGAGAATTTGTATAAAATTCAACACTGAGTTTGTCCTATTGCTTTCATAAAGTCAAGTTCCATTCCCTAGAGACATCTTCTAAAGCAGGGTGAGAAAGCCTCCCAGACTTGTGGTGCCAGTAATGGATTATGATCCATATATGATCCACACATGATTATGATTCATACATGGAAGCCTCTTGGAAGTCTGTCATTACCACCTAAGTTTGCTAAGCTAGCATGATACACTCCTGAATCTCAATCTAAATATGATCCTGTATAAAATTTCTGGTTTGTAGGTCAGCTTCAGTACCAGGCCTTCCATCTCAAAAATTCTCATAGAATGAGCTGTTCCTTAAGTGTTCAATCCTCTGTCACTGAAGCCAAAAAGACTCCGTGTGATCATAATTTCTCACTTCCTTTTCTAAGCTTAGCCTTGATTTGTCACAAAGCAACTCTCAGCTGTCTGGCAGTTAAAGTCTGAGGAGTCAAAGAACTGTGCCAAAGGATTCATGTTGTGCTATCAAGATCTCAGAGATGATAACATAAACCCTAAGGAATACTGATGCCATTAGAAAAAGCATAAATATATTTTGCTGAAGAAGCCCATGCTTACTGTGAAAAAGAATTCTAAATTATTTCTCAGCTTCTTCAGAAACCCAGGCTGTCCATAGGCATCTGCTAAATCAGAGTCTGAAGAATAATTGAAGGATAAAAATTTTTCCCAAGGTTTTCTATTGAATTAAATGCTTGCATGTGTTTAATGTTTCCATTTATATGAAATGCTGGTCGAATACTTTTTAACACACATACTTTAACAAAATATGGTTCTTGTTCAATAAATTATATTATCCCAGAATCAAACATACAGCAAGTGTGGTATTAAAGGAACAAAGAGTTCTGTGACCTTCAACTTGAAATCTAATTCAAATGTTTTTCACTTCATGTTGACTTAGCATTCTCTACACCTGAATGTCTAAAGCATGGCTTCTGCTTGTAAAATACCAGATATTTGAAAAAAATACAATACTAAGGAAGAATTTCTAGAACATTAAAATTAAGTGGAAAGCCATCAATTACAAGGTTTTTATAGCATTGCTCTTAAAAAGCTTAATAATGCTTCATGCAACTATCAGATTGAGCACACAATTGTTTCCACATTATAGTAATTTATAGACATCAGTCAACTAGCATACATCAAAAATAGACTGTGTCACAAAAAACAACATAATTCAATGAACTGTTTAAAAATAAATGCTAAAAGTCCACATTTGTCCCATTAAAACCATAAATTATTGAATTGTTGAACTGAGAATAAAAACAAATAGTGTCTCAATTTTTTTGCACTTATTGCCTTATACCCACTGCTTCTCTCATTTGCAGTTACATGGACTGTTTCTCCACTTCCTACCATGTAATGTCTCCATGGAAATGAAAACTCCTGATAATTAAGAAAAATAATATTTATTGTGCTTAGGTAGCTGAGAAAAAAGGGGAAAACCTTTACTTTTTATTAGCAATATTCTGCACATTGATAGCAAAATTCCTACAGACTGAGATAAGAACTTCAGATTTCTAACCAGCTCTTCATACAGAGATTCCTGTGGATACGTGGCTTCTGCAGGGCATATACACAAAAAGCAAAGATTGCTAAATTTATTTCCTATTCATTTCCTTTAACATCTACCCTAACTATCTCTGCAAGAAAGACATTCACCTGAATATTTTCCAGTTTCTGGGGCTGGTTTTACCCTTGAACAATAACAGGAAGGGGAAGACCTTAGCATGCCACAGCACTTCTGGATATCAATTTTGGAAAAAGGTCTGGCAGATGAGCTAGAGAAGTTAAGATACAGTTTACAAGCAGTCAAAAGTGATACCTTCAGCTCAGGCATGTTTATTATAAGCTGCATAGGTAGTTTAACATCTGGGTCCTTTGTATAGTCCATGGGCACAACGTTTGGTGCCATTTCATAGTATCGGCCGTGCAACCTGTAAACAAACAGAAACCAACAGCCAATAATCAACTTTAAATAACCAATTCCTTTCAGACAGTAATCACATACAAATTTGTCTTGCAGCTCTAATCATTGGTTTTAGTGCACAAGTCTGAGCCCACCAAATTGCCATCTTTGTGAAAACAAGAGGGCTTTGAAGCAGATCCAGCAGCCACATGTTTCCTGAGGTCTGTAGCTGAGCAGAGTTTCACACTGTGTGTATGTAACATTTAGGCACTGCCAGGTATGTGCACAGAAGGCCTGAACCAAGGCATGTACTGCAAAATGCAATTGTTATCATACGTGGAAGTTTTACACCTAAACTTTTGCTTAGGACAGCAAGTGCCCCTTTGTCATGTCCTATGTATGTAACACAGTGTATTCTGATCTCTCAGTAGGGCATATGTACTACTTGTATACATTATAAAGCTGTATCTTGTGACTTACTTTTCTTTTAACAAAAAGTCCTGCTTGCTCACTAGGCATAGTAACAATTACATATAGATATTACTGTGTTTTAACAGCAGAATATAAACAAAACAGTAATACAGGAAGAAATGCCTCAGCAACCCCTTCATTTCCCCAGCTTTACCTGCAGCAGATCCGCACCCAACTGAACTACTTCAGGTTCCTGTGTGTAAATAAACTCAAAAACTAGGGGAAAATAATCTACAGGCATCTGTTTTCTCATTATTATGATGGGCCTCAAAGAACACATAAAATGACACACAGAAACACATTTTTTCTGCATTGTAGGAAACTGATGTCCTTATCCTGCACAGCAATATTTTATGCCATACCAGAAATTGGATATCCACTATCTCAGCACATTTCAGCTGCTTACCACAGCTCACCCTGACATTTCATAAATACTGTGTAATTCAAGATGCAATAGCCATTTCCCTCTCTAGCAATTGATTTCTCTGTTGTAAACAGCAGCTAAAAAGATGCTTCTAAATACAACAGAAAAAACAACTTAAATGCACTTAAAAAGAAAAACGTAAAAGAAAACAAAAATTTCAAGTCCAATGTCCATCTATGGGTTACCTACTTTTTTAAAAGCTAGAATACTGAAATGGCATTCTAGTCTTCAAGAAAATGAAGCACTCCTTATTGGCAAAACTTGACCATTGTGGACAACATTCAGAAATTCAGGAGCTGACGATCCCTACTTATTTTAACTGTCAAGATTTCCTTCTTTACTTTATCTAATATTAGACTTGCCTCTTTATAAGATGCAGTATCAATGCAAAGTAAACCTGCCACATCTCGCTGACAGAATTCACTATCTTGTCCACAGAAATTGCAATCTATTTATACTGAAGTTCAGCCATACATTTTGGCAGCTGAAAGAAGGACGCAGCTCCCAACTCTAGACTGACAGAAATGTCTGGAAGGTGGGTGCTGGACACAGAAACAAGCAGGTAACTAACTGCAGATTTCAGGGAGCTCTCATACCCTGTTTTCCTCCCAACTAACTCTCCTGTTAATTCACCAAATCAGTCAAAGATCTGTGGATGTAAGAGCTTTCTATCTGAGTGGATTTCACACTAAAGCATCCAAATGAGTCTGTAGGAAGTGGCTCTGATCTAACTCCTGCAAACTAAATTACAGCAATAAAACACATCTTCCACATGCTTTTATCTGCTAGGATCCAGCAACTCTATTTGTCATAGCCTTATCACATGGCATGATTAGCATTTAAGACCATGAAAAGGGCCTAAGATTTCCCTATACCAAACATGTAGTATATTGCACTTACTCCATTATCCTTCAAAATAATAAACAAAGAACCCCAACCAATAGAACACCACAAAAGACAGTAACACCTTTTCCTTCTGTAAGATCTTGATGCTGGAAAGTTCTTCAGGGACACTATGTACTGTTTTATAATCAACTGGATTGCCAGTATCAAATCCTGGATTTTGCAGAAAAAAACACAGACCTGCTTCAGCATCTTAAGAAAACCACCTGTCATAAGGAACACAGTCCTCTTTGCTGAAGGTCCACCAAAACTCCTGTTCAGTTGAATAACTTATGTTGCATTGGGAGAATACTTACTTTTTGGCAAGGAAACAATCCATGTCTGATCAATTACTCTGTAACATGATGTAAAGCTCAGTAGACATCAGGGTTATCTACACCCATAATCCTCCTGCCTGCATGCAGTAATTCACTACACCTTGCAGTGTTGTGCACTATGACAAATCAGTAATCACTTCCCAAATGCTGCTCTCATTACTGACTGTTCTCTCACATCTCTCAAAAACATTAATTCCTAACTACAAATAGAGAAGAAACAAAGCTCTGGTAAAGGCTCTGATATTCTCCTGTTTTGGAGAAGCAGAAGGTTTTTCAGGTGACCTGAATACATCAGAGCAGTTGTAACCTAGAGGAAATAAATGCTTTTTGTCCTTTTACTCAGCATGCCCTTCACAAAAGCATGTCTGAAAACAACCTCAAACCTCTTTATCTGTCCTAGACACAGAAACACTTATGTCTTGTCAGGGAGGTAATGGAAGGTTTGCAGTGCTGTCTGAACAGACAGATTTGGAAAAGCTGCCATTATCATACAAAGACCATCCTGTACATTCAGAAGCCCGAGACCAGCCTCACTGTCTTTGTAGCAATAACTACTACAGCTGTATTTCCTTTCAAAGTTTCTTCTGCATGCATGCAGAAACATTTTCCTATTCCTGGATGTGCTCTCTTTGTCAGCAGGATTCCTTACTAACATTGCATGGAAGTAGAAAATGAAAAATTGGCATTGTCTTCCCTTCCACAAATGAGAGTGGGAGGGAATGTGGTGATAAATTTAATGGCAGATTTCATTAACTGATGATGCTCTGTCCCCACAGGTACTGGTATATGTTTATACTTCATGTACAACATTCAAGGACTAAGGCTGTGATTCTGTATTGTTTTAATCCAGTCTAAACCCAGACTGCTGATCTGCCCTTGCAGAAATGTGAAGCCCACCAGCTACTCATGTCCCTTGTATAAGCACTAACATTTAAGAATCTGCAGTGAGGTTCAGGAAACGGATGTGTTTGAAAATAAAGACGTTTTCACAGTTAGCTCCTTGAGGTTACTGAAGCAGTTGTGACAGCAGCAGAAGAAAATGGGGGTTTAATTCTTCTATTAAGGCAGACTAAGACTTACCCCTGTAGACAGCAGTAGTTTTAAAATCAGCTGCCAATCAACCAATGAAAACCAAAAGTGCTGTGTTCAGAAAAAAGCTCACAACACAGTTTTGTCCCCACAGCCTACTTTTGATTGATGATAACTTTCATTTTACTACTTTGGGTCTTTCACATGGCAAAAAGTAGTTCAGAGTCTGTTCCCACTTCTCAAGGGTGAAGCATCCCAGAGTCAGCAAGGATGACGCTGTGGGAATTGGCTGGATATAGTTTGGGACGTCTCTTACAACAGAGCCTCCTGCTCTACCTGAATAGATTCAAAAAAAGAGATTTCTAAGCTTACACCCTGCAGCAACCATTTAAATTCACTATTGAGCTTTGGGAGGGAGTCAGACTGTAGCCAAGGTCACCAGTGGGTGTGTTAAAACACAGAGCAGCCCTTGCTTGGCCTGGTGTACATTCATCTCCAGCATTAAATGTAGTGACAACACATTACAGCTGGCTGAGCTGCCCTTTTAACAGGAACTCTGCACTGAAGGAAAGCTGAAAACAAAAGATAAAAGCTTGCAATGGCTCATTGATTAGAAATAAGGAGAGGCCTTTAAGTGGCCTTTAGAAATGAATAAACATCTTCCCAGTTTGGGTCCCACAGCAATAGTCACTTGATTTATGCTGTAAGGGGGAAACATTTTTATTCAGCAATAGATATCCTATTTATTCCTGAGTAAAAGGGATGCATTCAAAGACTTGTACATTACACTCAAGACCATCTCAAGGAGTAAATTCTAGATTGCTCAGCAGTGTTCTGCACTGTCAGAAAAAAAAATAGCAAATGGCTTAACTAGAGCAATGAAAGCAGGCAGTGAGTGCTGATGGACAGTCCCACCATGGGTTCCCAGGAGCCATGGCATGACCTGACTATACACTCCTTGTACAGGATGGAACAACCTGTGCCTGCAGCAAGACCAGAAGTGCACAGCTGCTGCTCAGTTTTACTTTTGGTTATTCACTCTGGAGTCCCATACTGTTGTTATCAGATTTCTAAAGTCCATACCTCCTTGGTGTATTCTTACAGCTGCAGATCATCACAGCACAGACTCCTTCTGCTGCATGCTGTTCTCTCTCAGGTCAGGGCTCCTTCAAGGCTCTCCCTGAATGCCTGACCCACCCCCTTTTATCCCATTTATCTTCATTGGTCACAGCTGCAGCCCAATTAAGGACATCACAGCTGCAGCCCATCAAGGACAACTGGGACCTCCCGGGCAAAGCCTCTGTACAGAAATTCAGGTACAATACATTTCCTCTACTATAATTCACCACAATCAGAGCTATAGGCTCCTGTCCAGATGCCAGAGCTGAATGGAACAGCTGGAGAAGGACTTTGTGTAATACACAGAGAAGAATTCACCACTCCAGAGACCAGCAGGAGAATTGACAAGTCAACATAAAGCCCTGGAAAGAGCCAGGTCTCATCAATCAGCCCTTCCAAGCACCTGAGATGGCTGGAAGTAAAAGAAGCAGCAGCATTGAAGATGAGACCACACAGAATGCAGGACAGAATGCAGGACAGAATGCAGGACAGAATGCAGGACAGAATGCAGGACAGAATGCAGGACAGAATGCAGGACAGAATGCAGGACAGAATGCAGGACAGAATGCAGGACAGAATGCAGGACAGAATGCAGGACAGAATGCAGGACAGAATGCAGGACAGAATGCACTGATGGGAACTGATTTACAACCCTTGCTACAGAGGCTGTAGCCCTGTACTGATGCAAATCAGTGAACTGCACGTGCTCTCTTGTCCTGCAGTCCTTTAATGGACAGCTGGGGAACAGAGCCAGACAGACCAAAACCTGCAGGTCTGCCACACAGGGAGAAAAAATTGCTCTAGCTCAAAAAGAAGGAGGTTCTTTAATCTGGGGCCTTCAGGGCAACTGATATAGCACTTGGAGGGTCTCAGATTTATGCCATACTTGCACAAACTGTTTTTGCAACAATAAATGTTAAATGTTACACATGGTAATGGAGGCATAAATCCCTGTGCTGCACCAATTCCTCAGTGAATTGTTGCTTCCAAAGATTGCAAGAGGTCAGAACAGTCTATTAGAGAACGTGGTATACCATGTGAAGCTGAAACCAAAACGACAGGAAACATGATACAAGGAAATTCAGTCAGAAACTGAAACCACAACTCACTGAATTGCCACAGTTTGACAAACAGATAAAGAACAAAGGACAGTGAGAAACACAAGCAGAAAGAGTTGAAAGTTGAAGGAATTCTGTTACTGATATGCATTTCCCCTTTTATGATTTCCAGTTGAAGTTATTTTCATTGTATCAATAAAATAGAATAACTGGGCACTGAAATCAGATTTATAAGAAGGCAGCATAGTAAGATGAGAAAAAGTGGATAGATGAGTCTTCTGCTAGGTTTTAGTTAGCATGTAAAGTATTTATTCATCCTTGCAATGCAAAATGAAGCAGCACAAATTAATTTAAGAGAATAGTACAAAAATATCCTCCCAAATAATCTAGAGTAAAATTAAAAAGAAATTGTGAGAAATGTTTTTGGCAGACAATTTATAATACATTTATTCTAAATCCAGTTATAGTTATGAAAACTCTGACTTCCAATATATGTACCCCACTGTTCCCAGACCCACATGATGCATAGTGAGTATAGATAAGAACACTTTATAAAGTTTTTCCTTCCTTGAAGTGCCACTCAAACCCCTGCTCACAGGCATCTTTCTGCTGGTGATTCCAAGAATCACAGAGTGACTGAGATTGCGAGGAACTCCTGAGATGAATTGGTGCAACCTCCTGCCCAGCAAGGGCACCTGGGGCAGGCTGCCACATCCAGATGGCTTTGGAGGATCTGCAAGGCTGGAGAGTCCAAATCTTGTCTGGGCAGCCTGTTCCAGTGCTTGGTCACCCTCCCAGTGCCTTCCTGGGTTCAGCCAGAACCTCCTGTGTTTCTGTCTGTACCCACTGCCCCTTTTCCTCTGTCTCCTTCGCAGCCTCCAGATCTCAGCTCTCTCAGCCTTTCCTCCTATGAGAGAGTCCTCAGTCCCCTATCCATCCCAATGGCCCTTTGCCAGGTGCTGGAGCAGCTGTACTGGGGAGCCCAGAACTGGACACACTACAGCAGCACTCTGGACTTCATGCAGATCAATACTGACAGGGATTCTCTCCTCTCAATCTGACTTAAATGTAATACAGGAAAATTTTATGGTACAGAAATGCAGGGACTGCCTAAAGTCCTTTTTTTTTTTTTTTTCATTCATAGAAGATTCAGAAACATTTTTAACAACAAGAATGGTAACAATTATCAAGAAGATCAAGAGTAGCTTCAGGATATGTGTTCTTTGTGTATATAGTTTCTTGCCTAAAACTCAGGAAGATTCCTAAGGGTATAGAGCTACTAATTTCATTCTTTTGGCTGATGCCTTTTCCTCCAAAGCTGACAATAGGGCAATTCCCCTTTCTGCAAATAAAACTTCAAACTCTTGAAAAGAAAAACAGGAGTTGTTTTCTAACTCCTCCCTCCATTTGTGTAGCAACTTGCTCCACAGCAAGCTGCCTCCCAAGCAGTTTGCTGCATTTGCTCCCTTATAAGGAAGCTTTCCAGACACTTGAAGGGGCCACTGCTTAATTCTCTAGCAGATTTCAGATTTAAAATCCAACATTCAGCTGGATTGGCTAGAAGGGCTCCTGCCACCTCCCCTTTCACCCATCAAGAACACACCATGAAACAGGCAGAGAGAAGAAGACAACAGGAGAACTATTTTTCTGCTACCAAAAGGTTCAAAGGTTTGCAAATGTCCCAAATGGTGCCAGCTTGGTCATTTAGTGCCATATTCCCCTGGCAGTTGTCTAACTAGGTAAAGTTACTCTCAAGTAATACAACTTGAATTGACAATTTCTATGCTTTTTGGCTAGGACAGACATCCAAAACACCTGCATCTGAGTGCTTGTATGGGTACCAAACTGCACCAGTCTACAGGGAGAAGCAGAAACAGATGGGTGATGAACAGTTAAGCATTATTGCTAGAGTGAAAGCTTGTCTGCCAGAAAATCAGCTTTGTAAAACTGACAAAGAGAAATAACGCCTTATGAGAGACAACTCAACCATTTGTTCCCACTTACAATCACAAGAGAGGCACATTATACAAACAGATTCATTGCTATAACTAAAGTGGTTTTTCCAACTTTTCTTCACATCATTTTTTTTTTCTTTTTATTCCTGTTCCTCTCTACAGGATGTTTTCCAGGATAACAAATCTTTTTTAAATTGTGATGCCCAAAACTGGACAGTCTATTCCTACTGAGGTCGCAGTACTGCTAACTGGAATTCTCCCATTTTATAAACACTGCTGAGGCCAATACATTTTAGAAATGCATTTCTCTGTTTTTGCAAGAGCATTGTGGGGCTGGCGTTGTTAAAATGATGCTCACTTTGCTCAGATCACAACCCCCCAGACCATTATTTTGATACACTCCATTCTGCACTTGCAAATTTTTTCTCAGTTCTTAGGACTTGAGTGTGTGAATTTTCTTTTGCTCACTTTGACTCCAGTAATTTCTCTAACATACTGAGTACTGTTGAAAAAGCTCATCTCGATCTTCATAGCATCTGCAACTCACTTCACCTCAATGTTTCTTACCATTCTCACCAATTTTCTATATTCAGGAGTATTTTGACCAAGAGTTCAGTGCACTTACACAAGTAGAAAAGGACTACTACAAATTGGAATATGTAGAAGACTTTACCAAAACAAAGACATGTTGCAGCTGCTCTTTTCTCTGACTTACAAAAGCAGATACTCACAGGAAGATTTGCTTTTAACAAATCTGCAGTGGCCACCTCTGAGCATGTATTAAGTTCTAGGCACTTACAGATTGATTGTCTACCAGTGTGTTCTGGCATCTCTCCATGCAGAAAAGTTGTGTCCTGAAGCTACACACAGTGGTCTAAATTTCCACATTCTTCTTAAGAAAACTGGGGCATGTTTTCAAAGCCCTAACACCACCAAAGCAACCAGTAACAGCTCTAAAAATTTGTCAGCTGTTCTATTAATATTTTAGATAATGTTTTGAGTCTGTGATAATATAAATATGTCTACAATAACCAACATTCTTTAATATGTTCTTGCCCTGGGCCTATGACTGAATGCTCATAGCTGTGATCAGCACTTCCAAAAATAAACCATCTTTAATCAAGACTTAGGAGTGTATTTAGGTTTTCTGGTGATAAACAGCTACCAAACAGCAATAGTGAGCTATGGTTTCTATTTTTCTCTTTCACCAGGCACACTTGCCTCTGCTGCAGTCTTACTTTATATTTTTTTCCTAGAACCATTTTCAGCATTTTGTGTTAAACTTTTCTTCACTTTAAATTAATAAGTTATACTATTTTCTAATAATTTGCACATTATCCACAGTCAGATTACTAATCAAAAAATGTGTCTTCAATCCCTCTGACCACATCCTGTATTTATGTTGACTTGAGCTGCTGTTGACACCAAAGCCTTGCACTCTAAAGTCAGTATGTAAGTCAATCTAACAGATTACTGGTAGGGAAATGTTCTCTTCATTTTCAGTTGCATTTGCTTGCTGTGGCTCTCATGCCAGCTTTGGCTCTCATCTGATCCTTCAGAGAGCTGATTCAGCTTATTAAACCAGCAGAAAATAGATTTACTGTTGTTTGGGGTTTTGGTGGGCTACTTTCCCTGTAGGGACAGATAAAAACACTTAGCCCATTTCACCTAATTGCAGTCTCACACTGGTTTACATCAGTTTATAGCAATCTAAATTGAAGCTGCCACATTCATTCCTTCATCCCCACCTACACAACAGTCATTAACAGCCATGCAAATGGATGGTGAGACAGACAGGGCTTTCTTTTTTTTCTTTTTATAAGGATGCTCCTTGTTGGATCATCTCACTGAAGTCAGCAGCTGCACAAGAAATTCAGTTCAGCCTAAAGAGGACTCAACCTGCATTTCCTCCATATCAGCCCTGTGAGCATCCTGCAGGTAAATAAGTGCCCAGCAGTACCTGGGCACTTAAATCAGCCAGTACGTGGCTGCTTAAATCAATAAGTACTAATTAACCAGGGAGTCATAACCCATTTTATTCCTGCTCACTAAAACTTCACCTCAGACATGTAGAAACCCCTCTGCATTCTACACTGATTGCATGATGTGCCCTCACTGGTATCACTGAGCAGAAAAGCAGCAAATGCCTTTCATACAAGTCACTGGCTCAACCCTAAAACAGTCTATGATACTCACTTTAAGCTAATCACCATCTTATGACAATTATACATTATAAGTGTATCCTAAATCCAATCCTACTCTCTTCTATACAATTAATTCCTGCAGAATAACAGGCTTTATCTGGTTTCCTCACAAGTCAGATAAAAACACTTAGCCCCTTCCACATGGATCACAAAGGAGAAATTTAAAAGAGTTTACTTACCGAAGGATTTCCTTCCGAGTGAAGAATGTGCAGTCCTGTTAAAGAAACAAAATATGTCATTGTACTACAGAAATCTTGAAAACAACTGCAAAGAGTTATTTCTCAACCCTTTGGAAGGAAACTCAGATCTGACAGAGAAACATTAAAGATGCCGTTTGGGTGCCATCTACATTTGACTCAGAAAGGAATAAACAGTATAAAATAGCAGAAATATTTCAAGGGTAGGCCTATCAGTAAAAAGAAAGATAGTGATAGTGTGATAGTTCAGGAGGAAAAACCAGGTTGCTGAGATATTTCTCCAATGTGGAATGACCACACCAGAAACAATAAAATCTAAAATAGAAGGTATATGCCAAAAGTATTCATTAAAAGAATATGGAAAACTACAAACAACAATCTGTTGTTGATGACAAAAACTGTCTTCTTACTTTAAGTATCCCCCTGCTGGAGACAACTGGAGACAATTCTTTGTTTTAATAATAAAATTATGTGGTTATTTATTAGTTATTAACCCTTTTTGCTAACAATCAGTTTGCATTGTGGTCACTTTGCTGAAGGCTGCAAACTCCTCTCTTTTAGGAGCATGGATAAATGCATAGCCCCTGCCCTGAACAGCAGCAAACCATTCAGCTCTCCCTGTGCTATCACAGAACTAGAAATAACTAAAATGCAAAAGTAGAGCTTGCTGGACTTGAGAGAAGAGCATACAAGCATTTACTTGCATTCTAAATGGCTCTGTGATGTGACTGAATTGACATTGGTTTAATTCATTCAATAAATACCACTTCTATACTAGAATTCAAACATTTCACCAAAGAACCAGAATATGAGCAGTGGCAGAGTTTGCATTTCATGTCTTTCTACTTCAGTCACAAAAAAAAATATAACTTCAGGTGCTGTGAGGAAACAATAATCAGTGCCATCCCATTCAAAAACAATCCCTTAATCTCCACTCTTACCTAGTATGCATTTAATGGAAATTCTGCCCTGCATCCAAGACTAGGAACACTAGTGGTAATGAAATATTTGATAATCAGTTGAGAACACCATTCATCCATCGATTCAGAGAATATGTAACTTGATCTTCAAGCCAGCTCTTGAGGGTGTATATATAGGGGACAACCACCAACACAGAAAATTCCTCCTGATTACCCACCTCTCTCACAGGCCCATGTGATGTGGCAGGGCATTTGCCTAACCATTCAGCTCTTTGTAATTTCCACCCTTTAATGGAAAGATATTTAGAATATATCATCTTTGAAAATCAGCTTGTGACAAGACACCAGTATCAGACTTGATAAGTCATCCCTAAAGGGTACATACAGGTACTTTGTCTCTACAAGTGCTGCTCTTCAGTCAACCAGGGAAAAGTATTTCTTTCTCAAGCTGAGACTCACTGGGGCTAAGTGGCTGCTTCTTCCAAGGAGAGGAGAAGCAAAGGATCCCTGCTGGCAGAAGCAAACAGCCCGTCTCGGGTGTCCAGGAACGCGATCGCTCCCGCAGGTATCAATTATTGACCTGCCTTGCTCTCCTCCATACGAGGTGCCCAGAGCAGCAGCTTTCCTCCAGTGGATTGTGCAGTTACAAAGCCCAGGAGGAAGCACCTTGGCAGCTGCTGACACTGATGTCACATTGTCTGCAGCTGCACAAAGTGACATTGGAGCCAGCTGCTCAAGTCTTCCTTAATTCCACACAATCAACACAGTCAAACTGTCACTTAAGGATGCTTCATTTACTAAGAAAGGGCAGGTGTAATCTCACAAATAACTGTAATGCCCTCAGCAGCAATCATCTGTAATTCTACAGGCTGGGGAAAAAAGCAGCCACTTAACTAGAAAGCTGACAGGAAAGCCATATACAAATGGAGACAAATATTAAAAGGAAAAGTTACCCTTTACCTTGCAGAAGTCCTGCAAAAATGCTATTGGAAGACAAATGAGGTCAGATAATGAACCATTTTTGCTGACAGTCCCCACATTTTTTATATTTTATTCTGAGTTGCATCATGATGTTGACAATAAACCCTGCTGCCTGCCTGTTTTTTGATCAACAAGTTTTTTACTAATGTAACCTAAACCTAAATCCCCAGAGGTTTTGCTACTGAAACCCTCTATAGCAGAAGCAGTTGCAACTATCTATCTGACCACTGTTACTGACAGCTCTACATCCATTACACCTGCCAATTGCATGGAATTGTCAGGGATGAAGGTTGCAAAAAAAATTTAAGAATGGTCTCACTCTTAAGAGAGATCTTAAAGCTACTCAAGTCAAAGCACCACAGACTCACTGTGACCTGGCCTATAGTCTTGATCCACCAGATGATACCAGCTATGAAACAATTTACCATAAAAAAGCCAAATGGCAAGTGCAAAACCACAGCTCCATGTGACCTCTGATAGGGCAGTCCAGCCATCCCTCTTGCTTCCCCCACCCTTTTATTTCTGCCTGTTCCTTTATGCAGACTTCATCTTGATGAACAGAATAACTGCATCAGAGAACTCTGAAGGAAGGAACTAATGTGTTTGCAAATGAACCTAGCAATCATGGACACATTTTCAGCTTGGATCATTTTCTTCTAGTGACTTAGAATACAGTGTTGGCAGTGCTGGTACAAGAGACAAAGGTGAAACAAGTATCTATTGATGGCAGGAAAGGGGTGCAGGACTGGGCTAATTTTCCTTTTTTTTGAAATCACAGCCCTCAGTTGGATTAAAATCATGATGGAAAAAAGGTCTAAATAACATAATTACATTTTATAGTTGCTGGAACTTCAGCAATTTAATTCCAATTTAATTAAAGACTTTTGGCCAAAGAAACACGGAGGTGAATCATCCAATTTTCTTCTGGCTACTTCATTCATACAGAAAAATACATAATGAAGGACAATAAATAGTAAATTAACATGTTAAATTCACTCTCTCATAAGGAAAGGTGAAGTTGGCTCTGGAAAGCATTTGTCATTTATGCACATGATAACTTTGATTTTCCTGCAAGCCAGAGATATCACAGAACACATTTGCTATTTTGTGGATTGTATTTGAGTTTACTAAGAGCACAAAAAGCAACCTGTCTGTTCTGTCTGGACACTAAGATGTCTGGGAGTCCTGCTAGAAAAGCAGAAACTGACTACAAAACAAATATTACCAGAGTTTTCATAATTCTTATCAGTTCAACATTACAGCAAGAATTTATCCTGGGAATTATTGCCTTCATTTCTAGTGCTTCACAATGGCCTGAAAAACTTCTGCTAACAGCAGGCCCTCAGGGGCTTTAGCTTCTTGAGAACAGAGGCTTGGCCTTGACAGTTCACAGATTCCAGCCCCTGAGAACAAACATGCACCTTTTCCAAGATCAACTCTCCTGCTCAGTCTGTCCTCATGCCCTTAATAATCCAGTAAATTACAAGTCCAACATGGGATCACTGATGGTTGTTTGGAGGCAAGATACCACTAAAACAAATCTGCAATTATCTGCTTAGCATCTTGTGACAATGTGAATAAAACCAAGCAAACAGAAAATAATTTTCCCATTGATTTCCATGAGATCATGATCTTGTATAATGGGACTTGATTCTCAAATTTTGCATTTAGATGGCTTAACTACTTCTTAAAATACTTTGCAGATAGAAGAGGCAGACAGCTGGTGTATTTAGGTTCCATGGGTAGCTTGGCTCATGGCTGGTAATTGGACTTTCTGCAAGTCACTCAGCATTGCTTGTGAAGTGCAGTTAACAGTCTCTGCTCTTAAAACTTCATTTTTATAGCAGAGCAGCATGCACATGCTGTCAGTTTTATTCTTTTATTTCCTATGTCAGATGAATGCAGATTTATGACAGAACAGACTGAAATATGGTGGTCCACCACCTTGCCCAGTTATCTGCAGGACTTGACTGCAAACTCCTTGGTTGGTTCTGCTTTGTATTGAGTTCTACAGTGATTTGAACAAAGCAAAAAAGGAGAGAGAGATGCTCTGACAATGCTGCTACTTAGCTGTCTGTAGAGTGTCCATCCAGCACACCAGGAGGGGTGGCTCCACTCAGCCCATGCCAGTTCTGAGAGCAGCACACAGCTCATGAATGGCAGCAGAGTCCAGTGAATGGGGGGTTCCCAATCACCACTCCCAGAAACAAGTACTGTGCATAAAGTACAGCTCTGGAACAAAGCTAACTTCAGGGCAGGATGCAAAACATTCCTCTACAGAACAAATCTGGAGAAATGAACTACAGAATGGAAGAATAGAAATCTACAAATATGCTGTGAAATAGTATTTCTGAAAGTCATTAAATGCATATTTCTCTTCTAAGAAAATATATATTCTGCTTTGTATATGTATAGTTTCATAAGGTCAGGTTTACTTTGATCCTGGAACAGCTTAATTGGGAACTTTTATAAATACAAAAATAATATTAATCAGTCTTATAAAATCACTGCAAATTTAAAAAACCCAGCTTCAAAGATAATGCAGACACTGTAGAGCATAGCTATCTGAGAGAGCAGCTCTTAAAAAAATGCTGGCTATTAGATACTGCAGCACCTTAAAAGGTAATAGTTAAAGCAAATTACTTAAGAGGTTTCATTTTTAAAATTGCAAATGACATTTTGTACTGTGCCAAAGTACAAAATGTGTGTAAGAGCATTTAATCAAAACATCATCAAAATATCATCCTGTGAAGCAACCAAGAATCTGGTACCAGACAGAACAAATGAACTCTTATATAAGATCTATTATTAACTGTTCTAGCAATGTTTTACAAATGCAATACTTTTGTTCTACATTCCACACGACTAAGACTGGCATGGAGTTGTGCAAGACTGAGTCTGCAAGATATTTATGTATTTTCATCACTGTTAGTGTATATAGAGTTAACAGAGTCAATGAGTTAAAAATGCTGTTTGCCTCAGAACACCAGTGAAAATTTTACCACACAGCTCATCCTTACTTGTTATCATATATACTTCACAATTACACTCCAACCAACCAAAACACCCACTGAGTTCCAGAAGGAAAAAATCTGCATCTGTAAGAACCTGTTTACATATTCATATGGCAACAGGGGAGTAAAAACAAGTCAGACATTAGCAAGGACTGAAAAAAAGCAAACTGCCAACAAAAGTAATTTTGCTCCATCTACAGATGCACCAAATGGTAACATGAAACAAGAACCTGAACAAAGGATATTTTCACAAAAAACTTGCTCCATTATTATGCTACTTTTACTTGCACAATAACAGCAATACTGTATCAAATGAAAAATACTTTTTACAGAAGATCCTGGGGAACCTATGAATGCACTTCTTGTATTCTTGCAAAGGATTAATTTTCCAAGACCCTGGATGAAGTCTGGATGGCTTTTTAAAAGACAGCTTGATGAACCTGTTTTACTTTACAAATGGTGTTTCTTGACAGATCATAACATCACTTGTTTAATCTGGTTTTGCATAATGCTCATGAAATATAGTTGAATTGCAGTCTGAGGTCAATTTTGATAAAAGGAAAAAAGTGAGCTCTGTAATAGAGAAATTCTTGTGTAAAAGAAGAAAGTCATTACTTCACTGTACTATATTGTATTGCAATATTGCCTATAAGACTGCCAGACTGCATTAAATAATGCAGAGTAAATAATACCATTAATGAACAAATACAAATGGCTTGCAATAAAACCAGTAATATGCTTTATAATCTCCAGGTTCTAGAAGGGAAATAAAGCAAACAAACAAAAGGATCACTGACTTTGTACTGAATTCAGATCTCTTGATTCAAGTAATCCCAGAAAAGGAAATGAGATTGACTGAACAGTGTAGGAGTTTGTCCACAACCCAAGTACAGTTTCTCTGCATTTCCTACTCAATACAATTGTTTTACAGTTAGAAATGCTGTGCATCGAGGTCAATAAATGGCTCTGAATGAATAAATAAGTTGCTTTACAGCATACTTGTATTTTCCATTGCTTCAAGCATCTGTGCACACTCAAAACACCCTAAAATTTCAGTTAATTTTCTTTTCTCAATATGAGACTTGACCTCCAAAATCTGTAGGCAGCTTTTAAAATCTTAATTTTAAAATGTTCTTTTATTGCAATGAAACCCATCTTTCTTGCCTATCAATACTTGCCTTTTCCCTCACCAGACCCTGGTTAGATTTCACATTTTCTGTATTAAAAAAGCCCCATTCACAAAAAAAAACCCCAAAAAACTAAAACCCACAGGCAGAACTCTAAGGGCATAAGAATCATAAATGCCCAGTCAAATTCCTTTTCTTAGAAGGCCAGTATTTTAAATGATGTGAATCTCTATGAGCAACCCAGTGCTAGCACAAGCCTAATTTGCAAAACATTTCACTGATCTTCTGAAAATGTAAAGAGCTGCCAACAAGAACACTATCATAATAACAGGTAATATGATCTTAATAGCAGGTGTTAGGACAAGGTGTTAGCCTGGAAAGCTGAAAATTTATTTTCTTTACTTTGCCTCTACCTACTTGAATTTAAAAAACAAACAAACAAACAAACCTACCTGACTGGTTAAGTATTATCAAGTTCTATCACAGGTCTCTTGTACAAAGAGTTTCAACTGGCTACCAGTCTTAATGAAGAGCATTTAAAAATTGTCCATTGAGAACACTGAGGTGTATATATCCTGTGGGTGACCACAGATACAATTCTTGGATATAAAGTCAAAAGTTCTGCTAACAACTGGCTTTTCAATATGACAATTTACATGCCAAAAAGGTGCATACATAGGCTTTTCAGAAAGTTTTGGATAAATCAAACAATTTTATTTCTTTAATTTCATTAATATCACACTAATGACCTGAGATTTATGTATGCCAGCTTTTCAAGCAGGTGATTTTTCTGCAGCTTAATCTTCACTCTAAAGCTGAAGCCACTGGCATAGGTTTTACCATACTTTAGGCACATGAACTTCTCACTTTTTCACCTCATAGTGTATTTTATGGAACAAGCACATAAAACAGAATGAATTTTTTTAAAATTATAAACATTTTCCACCTGAAACAATATTAGGTGCTATGAGCTCAAAGCAATTTGTACAAAAGACAGAAATAATAGAAGGTACAACCAGATAATACAATGTCCAGAAACAGATTTCAATAAGGAAATTGTAAGTCTAACCATGAGGTGAGTGAGGTTTTGAACAGTTTACCAATAGGAACTGTGAGGAAGTAAAAAAAAAAAAGAACCAAGATATATTTTACAAAAAAGATTGACACTTTTCCTTCTGAATGCTGATACTATGAACACTGTACTACTGTTCATAGTATCACTGGACCACTGTTGTAAGGAGTACAGAACTAACTCACAGACACATAAATTCACAAGAAACTGCTTTAGGGGAAAAAAAAAAGACTCAATGATCAATTTATAAAAGCAATTTATATGTAGATGCCTTCCTGGTCACTGGGGTACAGATGTGCACAACAGACTGTTGCAAAGTGGACTGTGGTACACAGTGTTTTACTTTGGTCCATGGTTTAGACGCCCTGCTAACTCAGCTGCTGGCTCAAGACATGAAAAACCTGCACGAAAAAAATTATGGAAACATTGGCCCATTCTTCCTTTTGCTATTCTGAAGAAATTCCACACATGAGAAGATGGCAGGTAAGACAGCAAATTCCAAGTCAAACAGCTCCAGGTACAAAGTGCCATCTCCCCCAGGATGGTGTGGAGAGGCAAGAGCTCTCTGTGTGGGTGGCTCCAGCACTCAGCCCAGGATCTTTTTGTTTAAAAGATTGGAGAGAGATGCAAAACTAATAAATCAGAGGCAAATCACCATGGAAATTATGTCTTTATCTGATTCTTCACAGCATGAGGCTAATGCTCCTTCCTGACAAATTCTGCAAGCTAGGTATTGTCCTGAAACCTGTTATTTTATGGTACTTGCCAAACGTAGTCAAAAATTGTCTAGCTCTACACTAATGAACTGCAAGTCTGCCTGTAACAGAGAAATCCCAAAGGCGACTCAATCCACTGGGCCAAACTCCTGCCAGGCTTTGAGATCAATTACCCAGCATTATGAAAGGCAGGGGCTGCAAAAGCCATTAGAGAGAGGCAATTTCTACATGAAGAGCACTGAATTAGGGATGACATTTCAGCTCTTGCATTTGCCAGTTTATGTCAAGAGGATAACATTAATTACATTTGGATTTTGTTTTGTTTCACTGCAGTTGTGCTCTGTTTTGTGTTCACTTCTATTGTTAGTAGGAAGACTTGTGCTTTACAGATCTTTGATTTCTCTCTCGCTTCTCCAGCAGGGATGCAAAAAAGCTTTTTTGGATCTTGGACTGTTAAGTCTAAGATCATTAATTTAGATTAATACATTACAGACTGCTGGGGAGAAGTGTGACAAAGTGGAAATTAAGAAGGTCCACTGTCACATTTCCTACAATGACAAAAAACCCCACTAGGTATTTATAAAAGCATTTAGTTTATGCCTTACTTTCAGTGTGGCATAACGGTTGAAAGCATTTTATCATTTACACCTGGCCTCACTCCATGGCTCAATATTTACACCTCTGACAAGTCCACGTTAGCAATGACTTGAAATAAAATCAGTGACTAAAATAATAGATTCTACTTCAAATAGTTTTAATCAAATATCACAAAGGTAAAATGTTATTAAGTTACCCAGTCCCTTAAGGGTCGGTATCTGTCCCTTGGTTATCACAAGATAAACTAAATCTTGATTTCCTGTGCTGCTAATTCAATGTCTATCACTTCATGTAGGAGAACAGAGCAATGCAGCCAGCCCTGTCTGCCTCTATTAATAAGGGGTCAGCTGCCTCCTTCTTGAGCACACTTCTACTCAATGCTTTGCTTCACTGTATTTTCAGAAACTTGTTCAAGATGCCCACTGTGCAGACAGCTTCCTGAAATCCATTTTAGTGAGATTTGCAGTGTGATGAAACATGACTAAAAACAGTGGATCCTTTTTTTTTCTTTTTACCCTATTTAAAAGCAGTTTATGCAATGTTAAGTAAATAAACAAGTACCAAATTACCCCTGACATGAAATGCCCACTTACTTATGATGAGGTAAGAAACTGCTTTCCAGGAGTGGATACAAGTATAACAACACCTCTTCTGGAATTACACTAAACATATTTCTCTGACTTATCCTTAGGAGAAGTGAATTTAGACAAGATCTATTTCATTCCTTTCTGCTCTATTGTCAGCAAAAGGCATTAGGGAGAGAAGGGCTACACTATTGTCAAGCTAGTCACAATCTTTATTCTGCTTCCTAGTTCAGACACTGAGGATGTGACCGTTCTCCCTCTATACAGAGAGGGAATTAAATGAATATATTCAACAACCCAGCCTTAGAATATTACTACAGCTGCTGGAAGGAACAGTAGAATATATACATGCAGGTTAGAAAGAAAGTCTTCAATTATATTGGAAAAAACCACTCCCCAAACCAAACAAAAACCCAAATCATAAACATACGTAGATTAGTCCCTTTCGTCCCCGAATGCAAACCAAGATATCTTACCTGGTAGGCATCTAGCTGTTCATCAGTAAATATTGTTTGCTTATTGCCCATCTTAAATGAGGAATTCTTCCTCTCGGCAAATGCATCCCATTAGAAGTAGCTGGATTCCTCTGTATTGTAGGCATTTAGAGCACGTAAACTCCGTGAGCGTGCTGAAAAAATCCCAGAGCCTGCATTGAACTGGTTCGGATTGCACCTGCCCAGTGAGGAAGGACACAGTCTGGGAAATCTTTCCAAAGGCTCGACTGGAGTGTGCCAGGAAGGAAAGTGTTAAAATCACAGGCAGGTGTCGTGCAAAACCAGGGATTCCAATCTGCCCTTTTTCAGATGCTTTTCTAAGAGGCATACGGAGCTTTTATAACCCAAGCCCCGAGCAGCCGCTCCCAGCAGAACGCAGCTCTCCTGCCTCGGGGTCTCGCTCAGGGCGCTCCTCACGGCACCTCCAGGTTTTGGAGCGGCTCTGCGTCAGCCGGTGGCGCTGGCCAGCGCAGCCGTGTTGCCGGCTCCCCAGCCAGCCTGGGAACAGCGGAGCGCACGGGCAGAGCCCCGGCGGCTCCGAGAGCTGCCCTGCCTGCCCCGGGCTGCCCGGGGAGCGCGGCTGGGCGCAGCCCCACCGAGTCCTCACGGCCCCGCTGCCGCGGGAAACACTCGTGTCTGCCCCGTGCCTAGCGAGGATGGGAGTGCACCCCAAAGGCACCAAACTGCCGGTTACAGCACTGAGCACAAGGACTCCTTCGCACAGGAACTACATTTTAAAGAGTCAGCAAGATTAAAGTAGTTAAACAGACGCCATCCTCCCTCCTTAGGCTCAAGCAAGCACAGCTGGGAAGGAAAAACCTCTACCACAGCCTAAAGCAACAGCAGAAAGTGCCAGTAGAGGGCTCACGGTGTGTTCTAGCGCACCACAACCCTACTGACGGGAAAGTAAAAAAAATAAAAGAGTATCTATGAGAAGCAGACAGACAAAATCATATTATCTAACATCTGCAGAATGATAAGCTCTTATAACAACAGCAGGAAGAAGTCTGAGTGAGAAAGGATGGCAACGGGAAAGAAGGACCCATTATAAGCTCACTTTCCATTCAGGCACATTGGAACAGAACAGGGTAAAATTTCCAACTTCTCTATTTGTAGTCTGCCAATGGTCATTATTCCCTCATCAAGATAGCAAGTTTAATAAAAACACTCGGAGAATTATCGTGTGCTTTTCACTACAGCTTCTAATGATCCTGGCCTGATAGCAGGATTGGATAATAGGAGTTCACTTTACCTTGGCATGTAACAACAAACATTTAAAAGTAATAGTGAAAGCTGGTAGATACAAGTAAAATATTGTATACATACTAAAAACATCCTATGAATTGTGTTGGATATGTAGTAAAAACATTCTAAAAAGTGCTGAACCACAGACTGTTGTAAGAGATGGCTTATTCAAATTATAAGATTTAGAAATGCAGGTTTGATTAGCTGCAAACCAGCACTGCCCTGAGCTACAAAAATTACAAGGTATATCCCATATACAAAATAAATGCCTTGGGATGAGGATGTAGGCAATAAGACTTATTAGCAATAAGCAAACATCAGATTTGTAACATCAAAGAATGCATTCTAGCAATAGAGCATATTGCAGCAGAGTTTCAAAATAAGAGGGAAGGAGCTACAGTAGTAAGGGAAATACAAACGGAATGATTTACCATCAGACCAAGACAGCAGCAATCATCTGTTCAAATACCAGACAGTTGTACTGACTGTCACCTGGCAAAACCAATCTCTGTTTTCCCAGCCACTAGTGCTTTTTTTCTCTTTTTCCCTGGTGTGTAGTGGCATTGGATTCCTATTCTGTTCCAAAAAGTTCTCCACAGGTAAGTCAGAATATTAAAAATTATTTTAAAAAATATGCAAAATATGGTATTTCAATTTTTTTAAATTAAAAAAAACCCCAATATATAAGGGCCCTATGAGACTAAGAACTTGCACTGTTCTGAAAGTTCTTACCTGTCCTGAACTCTGAATGAGCTCCATCATTGGCTTTAGTGGTTATACATATAATTAAGCATGGTTAATATCTCTGATCTGGTGCTACTAAAATGCAAGAGATAACAGCTGCTCTCAATCAGACCAGGCCAATACTTAGGCAAGTGATTTGCATGAAATGGCATTCCATTCACAGCCACCTACTTCAAGCTGCCCATCTATGCAAATCAGATTAAGTATAAATGGCCAAATTACCTCTAATGTCATTATACAGAAGTTAATCATCAGCAGGGGTGGATATGGCTCAGTATCTTTTCATCTTGTGATTCTGTGTGCTTAACAACATTCCTACAGTGAAAAGCTGACATCCCATCTCTTTGGTTTTCACCTGGTTTTATATCCCTGGCTGCTTCCCCTGTACCCTAGATGCCAAACACATCAGAAAGTCTCTATCTTTTGGATCAAAATAACAGCAGTAAAATAGCAGCAGAGCTTAATGGAAAGCATTAACCAGGTAAGGCTTACTTGTGGTTCCAGTGTAGGCCAGAGGATTCAGATAGCAGTGTTAACCAGCTAGCTCTTCTCAAGCCTATCACAGAGCTAACTACATCTCAGTGCACAATTACCTTGCTGTGCCAATTGGGTAACATTTAAAGACAGTACAATACACAAAGTCTTTTTCACTGCTATTTGTTTGTACGTGTCAAAGTTCAGATGATCTTCCAGTTTACTCTTCTGGACTTTTTCTATCTGTTCCTATTTATCAAAGATTAGCTTATTTGCCAGTTGGGTGTTAACTAAACTTACTGCCAGCATGTTGCTGCAACAAATCTATCGTTTTCAATGTGCACAGCAAGAACTGACCTTAAATACTACCAGCAGCACTACATTTCACTATATTTCAGTTTTTAAAAAACTGTTTGCCAAATTGAGTGGTTTTAAGCTATTAGAAATAGATAACAAACATCTTGCAATAGGTTGCAGATAAAGTTTTGTAAGGGGGACAGCATATCTAGAATAGTCTTGCCATGTTACTGCCCACTGTACCAGACACAATGGTTAAATAGCCCCTGCTCATTTGCTTTAGAAGTTTCAATCCCAGAGCAGGGAATACACTGTTACTCACACACCCCAGTGTAGATCTGGACAGCAAGATGTGTAGTATTGTCAGTGTAGTATTGCCAGCTGCCATGGCCTCAGCTGACCACAGCTGCAGGAGTTTGTTTCCACAGCCACAGCTCAGGCAGTGGGACGTGCCAGGCTGGCAGCTCCACACAGCCTTTGGGGCAAATTTCTCTGCTCTGAAGCCTTGGCTGTCACAACAGGTGACTGATCTGATTTATTAGAGAGGTGTAAGTTCAATGGCCTCCAACAGACAGGTCAGAGTACCTTAAGTTGCCTCTGTAAATTATGCAGTGAGAATGCAAAGGTGGTTTAAGTATAAACTCCAATCCTTCACCAAAGGAGGCTCAAGCTGCTCTGAACAGACCACTTTAGCACAAGAGGATCCACACAGAGTTTTAACAATCACGTTGCATATCTGCTGCTTTCACATATTGGTTTGCTACAGCTTTTAGAAGGGGAGAAAGGAACCTAAGAAATTTCATGCCCATTACACCAAGTATTCCAACAACTTCCCTCTCACACAGATGTTTCCGTGCAGAATAACTGTTCATAAAGAACAGTTACTCTGTTAGCAAAAACAACAGTTTTGATTCAGAGGGGCTGCCTGTACATTTATGCTGTTGTTACTTTGCACAAGTCCCTAGGGCCCAATGCAGGTGTGAGTAACCATGATCACTATGTGCAATGGGAGAAGTTCTATTCTCCACTGATGCTGTAAAAATCCCCCCTGCATTTTTGGGATTTGTTTTATTACTGGAAAGCTATTCAAAATTCTGTTTGCATAAAATAAAGAAAATATAGTAACACTCACCTTATACAGCTGCTGTGGAGCTAAAAAAAGAAAGTTCCTTAAAGATGCTACAGAGCCAGAAAACAATACAACTGCACGAACTATAAATAAAAAGTGAACTGTAAATACACAGTTATGAAAACCTAAAATATGTGTAAAATGACAGGTTTTGCTACTGCAATGGGTTAAAAAGTTGCTTTTCCAACACATGGTGGATGGGAGGATGATCAGAGCTCTGTCTGAGGAATGAATAAACAGCTTGAGAAACAGGCAAAACTCAGTCTCTCAAACCAGGGAAAGCTGCCGACTTTGCTGTGAGGAGCAGGAACTTTCTAGGGAGTTTTAGTGCTAAAGAAAATAAACAAAAGGGAAAACCTTGTGTGAAAATGTGTTGGTTTTACGATCTTATCTATCTAGCTTAAAAATACCCCTCGTTAGAAAAGAGAGGTTTCTGAGTGCGTTTTGTTAAGCCTAATTTATCCATAATAAATAGAAATTACCTTTGTTTTTTTTAAAGGTATTTTATGCAAGACAGTGTCTTGCCTCAGGGACAAAATAATAATAAATGAAATGGTTGCCTTAGCAGGCTAAATGTAATATAATGAATTTCCCCATAGGGAGTGACAATATAGTGATCACTAGGGGAAAGAGTATTGTTGTCTCCTCACAGGCATTATTTTCATAAGCAAAATAACTACTCATGGGTTTATTATTGCCTCGTGCATCCCTTCTCGGAACAGATCCAAACCAGCCACTGTTAACGCCTTATTACTGTAGCATTATTATAGTAACACCCACAAGACACAGACAAATGGGTGTTGAAAATGTGTAAAAGAATTCTCCACAATATCGCCCCTTCCCCCACTTTTCAATCCAAGTGCAACTTAACAATGTAGATGCAGATACAGTCACAAACACAAGAAAGCAACATGAATATATCTGTTCGCTATGTATATAGTTACCAATACCGAGCTAAGTAACTGGAAAGGCTGCTAATAATCTTCTAATTCTGTCACCAAAAACTGGTACGAAATTAGTCTGAGACAAACCTCAAATTTTAATGTTGCCGAGTTTAAAAAGGTAGACGTTTTTAAAAGCGGCCATTCCCAGAGGTACGAGCTCAAACTGCCTTACTAGAATTCTAGCTTAGTTCTAGCTCGGTGCTTTGCTCTCCAGAAGGCCGCGGCTCTCCCGCCGCCCCCAGCGCGAGTGCCCGGCCCATGCGCCGCCCCGGGCGGGCCGGTCCCGCGGCTCCGTGAGGCGCCTCAGGGCCCCAGCCGCTCCTCCAACTGACACAGAATCAGCTTTTAAAAATAACAAGTTGTTATTATTATTAACCTCAGAAACGAGGGCAAAAAGAAGTCTTAAATTGTCGCGATTTCAACAGCTTTGTTTTTAACACTTTAAGTACATGGGCCTAGGAGGCTTCTGAAAAATCTGGCGTCTTTCTTAACAACTTTTTTCCCATAAACGACCCGCATCCTCCGGCGGCACCAGGCCGTCCGCCTCGACGCCTCCCGCACCGGCAGCTCCCCGGCAGCACCTCCACCGGGCCGCGGATAAGGGCCGGGGAGGTGGCTCGGACCGCCTCAGGCGTCGGCGGGCAGGAGCTGAGGGGCCGGAGAGGAGGCTCGGACCACCTCAGGCGGCCGCGGGCAGGAGCCGAGGGGCCGGAGAGGAGGCTCGGACCACCTCAAGCAGCGGCGGGCGAGAGCCGAGGGGCCGGAGAGGAGGCTCGGACCGCCTCAGGCAGCGGCGGGCGAGAGCCGAGGGGCCGGAGAGGAGGCTCGGACCGCCTCAGGGGGCCGCGGGCAGGAGCTGAGGGGCCGGAGAGGAGGCTCGGACCGCCTCAGGCATCGGCGGGCAGGAGCTGAGGGGCCGGAGAGGAGGCTCGGACCGCCTCAGGCATCGGCGGGCAGGAGCTGAGGGGCCGCGTGGATGCCGCAGCGGCGGTCCCGGGGCGGGACTTCGCGGAGCGGGGCGGGGCCGCCGCTCCCCGCGCGCCGGTTCCGGTTTAGCGGCGGGCGCGGAGCTCTCGGGCCTTGGCAGCCGCGGTGCCCGGGAGCGTCATGGCCGCGGCCGCGTGGATGCCCACGGTAGGCAGGGGGACGGGCCGGACCCTAATCCGCGGCGCCCGGAACGCGCCCGGAGCTTGGTGGCGCCTGAGGCGCGGCCGCCCGGCCGCAAGGTCGCAGTGCTGCCGGGCCCTGGCAGCGCTCCGAGGGGGAATGGCCGCGGGGCTCGGGCCGAATGGCGGCCCCGCGGCGCTCGCGGGTTCTCTCCTTCCTCCTCCCCCCTCCCCGGGACGGCGGCGGGAAGGGGCCATGGGGGCCGTTATTCGAGCGGGCCGGGCCGGGGGGGCGCCGCACCATCCCTCGGAGCGGCCTGCGGAGAGGTCGCGCCGTAGAGGTCACAGCAGCGGCGGGACCACCGCGGCTGCGGGCAGCTCCCGGTGCGCGCGGGGCAGACAGCACAGCCCGGAACGCCATTGCCGCAAAGAGCCCGCGGGACCGGGCACTGCAGAGCCGGCGGGGCTGAACTGTACCGGGCTCTGGCTGGCCACTTTCTGGTCCCCACACCTGTCCTCTGGGATTTCCAGCTCTGAACCATTCTGAAACGCAGGCCTTATCCCGGGGATGTCACGGAAATAAGGGTTTTTGCCTTGAGTAAATGAAATTTATTTTGTACCTTTTGAGGCAAAGTCATTGGGGCTGCCCCATTTAACCTTATCTGCTAAAGTAAGGAAGAACTCTCAAGAGCTAATCCTGACACGTGACTTTAAGGTCAGAATGGATCAGTTTTCCTTGGGTGGATTCTTTGTTGGTGTTACCAATGTTGAACTTCAATATAATGTACTAGGCCCGTGATTTCTGACAAGACAGACTGTGCCCTTTCCAGGGCTACTCTGGAATGTGAATCCTGATTCTTTGTGCAGGAACTGTACCATGAGAACACCCTGTACAGTCAGCCTCACATTTTTATTTGATTGCTGTGCCTTCATCCTCAACCATAGGGCCTGCTTTGGTAAACTCTGCTTGCCTGTTGCAGTGACCTTGTACATCTCGTGTGGGGCTACAAGTAAAAATAGATCTAGCTTAGATTACTTCTCCCCCAGTGTTCATTGCAATACAATAATTATATTATTTTATAATATATTATTATCGTTACAATATGAGAATTGTATTATTTTTAATTGTTTCTGTTGGTGCCAACATAGTTTGTTCCTTTTGCTACACACCATTCTGTCAGTAAAGAAATAACAAATGCAGGTGGGACAGGAGAGGAATACAAATTGTCAGTCATTTCTAGCCTGATAGCTGCAGACAGCCTGCATATGTGAGTATGGCAGAATTGAAGTAGGGTGAGCAGTTAGAAGTCTTCTGGCTCTTAAGTCCCAGAGGCATCAATAATCCTAGAGAGGTTAAGATTGGGAGGCTGTGATTTTTCTGCAGGGTAGGGATTTTGTCCATGGTGCTCAGCTGGGCAAGAGCCCAAGCTTAGATACCAACCCAGTTTTGAAGCTTAATGCCAGTTCAGAATACTCAGAAAATGTAATTCTTTAACTGTGATGTGTAGACTTGTTGGTATGGTGAATTTTGTCTTCAATGTGCATTTCAGTTCCACTTTTAAAAAACCGTCAGGCATGCAGAAGGCAACAGTACAACACCTACAGGTATAAAAGGTAGAAGAACAAAATTCACCACAGTTTGAATGGAAGAAGTGACACTAAAATGTAAAGTAGTTTTGGAAACATCACCTAAAATGTGTAAAGATACTGTCCAGTGAAGCGTTTGGTTTTTCACTTTGCTTTCCGCATGTCTTTGTCCTTAGCATATGATGTGTTTAGTTAGAGTTGCTGCTTTCCTGCATGTTTGCTTCCAACATCAAGTGTGAGAGGACTGCAGGTGGGGTGCAGGGGCCCCCAGGCAGGACAGGAGCATGGGGCAAAGCACGGCTGTCCTGGGCTCACCTTGTGCTAAGAATACCCACAAGGCGTTGCTGCTCTGAGTGTTCGACTGCAACTTGGCAAAGCACTGGGTACTCTGGTTTCATTTGGATTTTTATACTAGTTTGAGATAGGAGATTTAAAGCAATATCACTTTAAAAAGAAGATTTGCTGCAATGTTGTTAAACTTGTAAAATCCCGTTTGTGCAGTAAAAGAGCATCTTTTTGCTTTGGATTTTTGCAGGTTTCTCGATTGCTAGGTGCTTTCAAAAGCCAAAAAAAGGTGACCAGAAGTTTTGGTAATGCTGTGAGTATAATAGTCCCATTTTTTTCTTTTAAGAAGTTTCTCAATAAGCGGGTTTGGAAATTTTTAAGATCACTGTTGTTATTCTTACGTTCCCAAAAAATAAGGGTCAAACAAGTGAACATGCGTGCTCTTAATGCCATCCTGGATTTATATCAGTTAATCACTGTCATTGGCAATTGCACATCAATGTGAGAATATAAAAGGCTCTAGCAAAAAATAGAAGTGGTATGGAAAGTTTTCACAAAATACAGACATAAGCCAGTCTTCTGGAATTCATCTGGGAATGAGCAAATATATATTGGGCAAAGCAGAAAGATTGTTGAGAAGCTTCTCATTTTCTTTCTTTTGCAGACTTCCCTCTAGGCACTAGATTTACTTTACTGCTGCTTTTAGAACTCCTTGCATCTAAAATTCTGCCTTTTCAAGGTCCTCTTTAAACTATCTTAGACGTTGTGAATTTCCCTGTAGATGTTTTACCTTCTTCTTTGTGTATGTGTTTGAAGTGCCCATGGGCCTTCTTTTTGGTGAAGACAGGAGCAGGGCTCAGCACTCTTAAGCAGGACTTAATCTTAAAGAGGAACTGTGGCTTTTAGAGGAACTTATCTAACATGATAAGTTTTGTAGAACAGCAGGTACAAAGTTAGAAAAGAAACTGAAGGGTCACTTATACAGTATAAGAATCAGAATGTGAGGCACCCCTGGTTCTAGTGAAAACACAACAGTTTCAGGCTCAGGTGGAGCCCTGCAGTGCTGACAGACAGCACTATACTGTTCTCAAGGCATTTCATCAGTGACAGCTTGCTCAGCAGCAGTCTTCTTTTATCTGAAGCTCTGGTTTTTTGTTGTGCACAGTGAATTTCTTTGGCTCAAAAGTTAAAAAATCAGTCTGTCAATACATACTGAAGTTCTGGCCTGTGAGTTGATTCTGCTGGGGGTTTTTCAAATAATGTATGTGAGCTGTCTTTTCTGTAGGTAATAATGAGCCCATAAAAGCTGTTGGATCTCTTTAAATAAAACAAAATGAGCTGGAGCACATACCCTTAGAACAGTGATCGTAATTTATTTTTTCTTCAAAGAAGAATACATTCTTCTCCTTCTATTTGTTGAGCCTCAGCTGTGCATTCTTTTACTTGTTTGATAATGATAAAAGAAACAAAACTGAGGACATTATGAGAGGTAAATAAGTTTGTATTGTTTAAAATGGGTCTGAGATTTTTAGGAGGTCACTTGAGAAGTTTAGCTTGGCATGACCTTTTTTTTAAGGTGAATGTATCTTTTCATATATGTAATCATTTCTAGCATGTGTCAGTATCATGCAGCATGTTGATAATATTGTAGACATATGTGTAACACAGCCATAACTAGGTAACACAACTTGCTCTCCAGATTTCCAGAGGAAAGCATGCTACATTAATTAATTTCAAGTAGTACTGAGCAGGAATCTGCCTTTCACATTCAGCCTCTGTTGTGAAATAGGAACAGGTAGTAGGTGAATTTCTAAACATTTCTCTCAAAACATTTGTACACTCCCTTGGAAAGCAAGCCAGTCCTTCTCCTGTCCAGGACTGCTGTTCTTCATAGTGAATATTTGGTAAAGGAAAATTTATTCTGTTTTCTAATAGTTACTTGGTTCCTCCAACACATGAAGATGTTTTCTATGTAGAAAACAAACATTCATTTGTTGTACTACTGATATTTCTTTACCTAGGTACAAACAGTAACTTTAATCCCAGGAGATGGCATAGGACCTGAGATTTCTGCTGCTGTCATGAAGATCTTTGATGCTGCCAAAGTAAGTCATATTTTCTTGCTATAAGCATTGCAAATTGAACTACAGCAAAAAATATTAATTAGGCATATTTTAAAAAGCTTAAAATCTCTTTTAAGAGATTAAGTCATATTTAAGCTATTAAAACTTCTTTCCAATAGAAAGAGTTTGAAGCTTCAGCTAATAACTGACAGGAATGTGATAGCAAGGCATGCCTTGAAACTGGCAGAGCTGACAGAGGAGGAAAGACTTGAGAGCAAATGCTGTGTTTGATTTTTGGAAACACGAACTCGGTGTCATGTGAAATCACCTTGTTGATGTAGTAATCCTGAGCAACTGACAGAGGATGTTCTTTCATTTATTATGACTTCAAGTGCAGGTCAAAAGTGTGTGTGAAAGGATTGGCTCGTTTTAGCAATCCAATTGCTGTGCTGCCAAACACATTCACTTCAGTGAGATGAAAACTTACTGTATCCAACAACTTTCCCCTACCTATCTGAGAACCTTCACTAGAGCTTGTCAAGTTTCCTTGAAAGGAAATAGAGCTCTTCAGGCAAGATGCCTGTTAAATTGTTCCACATTAGTAACAGTATCCAGGCATATTATATTCCCTTTGTATTACAACTATCCAACATGGATTTGAAAACGTGAAGTTTCTTTATTGATGTACCTTTTCTTTTGTGGTCGTTCCTGATGAAATGAACGGGTGGCAGCCTGTCTCCACTTAGAGTCCTGTGGTGAATGCAAATTCAGAAAGCATTGTGGAGCATGTGCAGATTTTCAGTGAGATAACAGATACATATCTATGTCATACACAGTCTTCCAGTCAGTGGGGATGATGAGTCCTCAATGAATTCAGCTTTAAAATGTTGTCCCTTGTATACAAGGAACTCAACAGCTCTGAAACCTTTAAAGAAATAGCACTTGTGTATATGACATCTAGGGTGCCATTGTGGTATTCACATTTATGATGATTTGCTCACACTATTTAATTTCCACTTACTTAATTACATTTTTCAAAAATTACTTTAGTTCAAACCCTCACTCACCAGAGAAAATACTGTTTAGAAAGGCCTGGACAAAATTCATTACACACCTTCTTGTGATAGTTAAAACTTGAAGCAAAGTTATGACATGAAAGTTAACAGAGATTGTGTGTGTTTAGGCACCTATTCAGTGGGAAGAGAGGAATGTTACGGCTATCCAAGGACCAGGAGGGAAGTGGATGATACCCCCAGAAGCCAAAGAATCCATGGATAAAAACAAAATGGGATTAAAAGGTATTTTAGGGGTTAATACACAGATATTAAATACTTTTGTGTTTCTCATGAGTTTGATGTAAAGCCAGAGTAGCACAATAAAATAGGGGAGAGCCTGGCAGGTAATTCCAAGATTACAGTTGTCTGTAATCTTGGAACAGTCCTCGCAGGAAAGGTTCCTGCAATTTCCAAGCCCTTAGTTTGACAGTTATTGTAGTTATAATTGGGTACATAACAACCTTTGGACTCTCTACAGAAGGCATTCCTAAGATACACAACAGTATGCAATAACTACATTACTAATGAACAGTACCTTTGTATGTTTTAATGAATACATTTTGTAAAATCTGTTCCATGTAAGGCTCACAGTTTGGCCTTTACCCCACTGATGAATGTGCCTGTGCAGTAGTTGACAGAACAGAGAATTCACATGGCATTGCAGCATAAGGGTTAAACAGGAGTTTGGAGATCCTCTGTAGGAGTCCAACCTTACCTATAGTTTCTGCTCTCAGATCCATGGAGGGTTTATTTTCTTGTTCATCCTCGTGTACCTTTTTTCCTGTAGGGCCTCTGAAGACCCCAATTGCTGCAGGGCACCCATCAATGAATCTGCTGCTGCGTAAAACCTTTGACCTCTACGCCAACGTGCGTCCGTGCGTGTCCATCGAGGGCTACAAGACGCCCTACACGGACGTGAACATCGTCACCATCCGCGAGAACACCGAGGGCGAGTACAGCGGCATCGAGCACGTGGTGGGTGCTGCCTCTGCTGCCGCTGTGCTGCAGCACTCTCAGGGCCTTTCTGGGTCACTGCCAGCCTGAGATTGTTAAAAGTCTCTTTTCCCAGCCCAAGCGCTTGGAGAATGAGTCTGAGCTCTTCATTGCTCAGTCTCAAGGTTGTTTAGTGTGTCTTATCTATAAAAAATTTTCTCCTGTCCTGCTGAGGTCTGTCCAGCAGGACAGACAGAGGCACTCTGCCTGCCCTCAGGGTGGTGTTATGTCTTTATACTAAAAACTATGTATACAATGTTTACAATTACTTTCCAATACCCATCACCTATGTTAGACAGTGAGCTTCTACTCTAAACCAATCCAAAAGTGCCAACTTCACAGCAGAAGATGGAGGCCAAGAAGAAGAAGCAGAAAGGCTGGACACACCCAGTTCCCTCCATCTTGCCTTCTGAACCCCCATACCAAAAACCCTAAAATCTACTTTTCCACCCATGATAACTTCACTAATATTCTACTTAAACTGTTGTGGCTTGCTGATCTTCATATAAGGTTGGGTCATGATCAAACCCACAGGTGTTTTGGGCTCTGTGCCAGGGCTTCTGAGCTCCCTGGCAGGGGTCCTGGCCATCCTGGACAACCAGAGGGATGTCCTGGGTTCCCACACAGCACTGCTAACTTTGCCCATCTCACTGGGGTTCAGTGGGATTTTTTTTTTACATTTGGCACCCATAAAAAAGTTTCTCCATTGTGAAATACATTCTGCCTCACTCAGAATTCTGCTGCTTGGTTCCAAATGGGAAGAATGAACTTGCACTGCTGATGCATTTCCTGTCTTTCAGATTGTTGATGGGGTTGTGCAAAGCATCAAGCTGATCACAGAGGAAGCCAGCAAGCGCATTGCAGAGTTTGCTTTTGAGTATGCCAGAAACAATCAGAGAAGCCACGTGACTGCTGTGCACAAGGCAAATATCATGTATGTTGACACTTACTTTGAGAAAAACAAAAAGAAAATCCGCAAAAATTTAATCATAAATAATTGCTTAAGTCTTATTCAAATGTGAAACTTCTGCTGATGGCACTCGGAGTCAGTAAAATGGGAAAATTTCAAGTAAATGCCTCCTAAGAAAAATGGGCAATACTGATGCTTTGGTAATTGTGTACTAATGTTCTTATTAGCAAGTTTGTAGTAATCCTTCCTCCCAAACCTCTTATTTTAGAAACTTTAAACAACAAAAATTAATTTTAAAACTGAGGATGAAAGTGGCTGGTGTCTTTTGCAGTTGCCACACCACTTAAAACTGACCTGAGTCATAACACATGTGATATTGTGTGACATCACCTTCACAAATTCACTAAGCCTTTCATAAATGAATGTAACTCCTTCTGAGAATTAATGTATGCTGTTAAAACTACTGATACAGAAATATTTTAGGAGGGATAAATAGTCACAAATCAAGTCTTTGAATTCTAATTAAACCCCTGTTGCATGCAGTTTTCTTTATCTCCAGTAATGCTTCCTTACAATAACTGCAATATTCTCTTGCTTGTCTAATTGCAGGAGAATGTCTGATGGGCTTTTCTTGAGAAAATGCAGGGAGGCAGCAGAAAACTGTAAAGATATTAAATTTAATGAAATGTATCTGGATACTGTATGTCTGAATGTGAGTATTTATGTTTTAGTTGTGGTTATTTTTATTTATTTTTTTTTTTAGTTTAAATTCTTAACCTGAATGAAAATATACTTCCTTCTAGATGGTTCAAGATCCATCTCAATTTGATGTGCTTGTTATGCCAAACTTGTATGGTGACATCCTCAGGTATGGAGATTTTCATTTATACCCTCAACATGTAAAATACTGATACTTTCCCAACAACCATTGAAGTCAGATGAAAGTCAGATCATCTTATGCACTTAGACTTCTTAACAGACATTAACTGCTTCAATTACTAATACACTAATGGGAGGGGCTGTATGATGAGAATGTACTTTTTATTTTAAAAAATCTGTTTCTGCTTATGGAGGCTGTGAATATTGTTCAGATGGTACAGACAGAAATTTCTCCAAATGTGTGAAGAATATAATGGCTTACATTGAAATAGAGAATGAATGCCTGGTTAGATATTGGAGAAAAATTTTCTCATCCTCAGCACTAATAAAGATTGTGTAGGGTTCTGTGGGACTATGATGTACACAGGGAGCTCATCATACATTTAAATCAGTCTGCATAGTCACTGAAAAACTAAATGTGTGGCCTCTTAATATTCTGCCAGCTCTTGCTTTATGTATTACTTTTTCTTACTGTCAAATTAAATTTTATATTTGAATAACATTAATACTAGAGGTTCTTTGTGTCTTGAAGGCAAAACCTATCAGCACACATTTTCCATCTGTAAAATTATTTGGTAAATTCCATTAAACACCTGTAAAATGAAGTGTTTAAATCTGGACTATTAAGTGTATTATGTAAAATAGTTTCTTCTCACACCTCTAAGGAGAGATTGAGAAAAGATCCTGAACTGGAATTTTTATTTACAAGTTTGACTATTCACGTTAGAATCCATCTCCTGGTTTTGTACAGATAATAAATTTAAAGGTAACTTAAGTATAAGAAGAAATGGTTCTTAAGCTTCTCTTAAAACAGCACTCTCTCTGTGATAAGGCTGTGCACGCTAAGAAAAATCAGATTTCTGACTAATGCCTCTTGTTTTAAGAATTGGTGAAGGTGTGCACAGGGCCCTCACAGCAGCTCTTACTGTGTATTAACTAAGAGAGATCAAATCAGAGGAGTGTCATCATCAATACCTTTTCAGACAGTTCATTATCAACCATTTTAAAGTTCTCATAGAAACTCCATAAAAATTTCATCATTCTAAAAATTTTCAATAAATTTGAGTCTGTTCTTGAAGAGGACACTGCCACCACTGGGTGAGGTCTCACCTGCTGCTCTAAAAGTATGAACAAAATGCCAGGTATATTCCTTAGACTGAACAGGTAGAAGACAATCTCTTCTCTTTAAGCATTAAATATTTAGAGTGACAAATGCAGACTGTATTCAGTTTTTCCCCAGGCTCTTTGTAACTTAAGTGGTTTATTTTTAGCTTAAAATATTGTTCTGTAAAGTCATCCAAACTTTTCTCCTTGTTAGTCCTAAGCTAAGGACTAACTTAGCTTAGTTTGTAGGCAATAATTGGATGTGAATGGATGTGAAACAGAGTTTTAAGAGCTTTGTTAATCAGTGTGTTCAGCTTGGGGCTTACAGGATGATGACAACAGGCACAGTTGGTTTGTTGTTCCCCATGGTAATTCTGGTGGAAACCAAATGCAGATTGCTTATATCTGATGATCTGCTAATGGCAGACTTGTGACCTGCAGGCTGTTGAATAAAGAGGGGAAAAGCTAGTCTGGTGTCACTTGGAAAACGTTCCTTAGGCTGCACACAGTACACCACAAAACCACCAGTAATTCACCTACCTGAGCAAAATTCCTCCACATTTTTAGAAGGAATTTACATATGAAAAGTAGTTCTGGGCCCCTTCAGAGGAAGTAGGATTTTTGTATAGTTACAGGGAACTGTACATAATTAGTTTTTGAGACTTCTATACATATGCTGTGCTTCTAGTACTTCTTGTTTTGCCTGTGTCTTATCAGCTTTATTCTAGTATTTGGAATTTCCTTTTAGTTTTCCTTTATTACATTATCTTCTGCTAAGTTCTAAGAATTTTCCAATGTTCTGACAGCATCTGCTCTTTTTCCTTATTATTCTCAGACTGTACAGGTGTATAAATTAAGTTATAGTTGCAGTTGATTGATAAACAAAAATATTTTAATACCTTGCAGAGAGGAAACCGTATATGGAAAAACTCATGGATTCTTTAATTTGGTGGTTGGTTTTTTTTCAGTGACTTGTGTGCTGGACTCATTGGGGGTCTTGGAGTAACACCCAGCGGAAACATTGGCGCCAACGGCGTGGCCATTTTTGAATCCGTAAGTCTTGTTACACACAAAGGGAGATCAGTGATAGCTTTGTCTCAGCTTGAGAATCGAAACTTTTCCATGCCATACAATGTGGCTGACATTTATCTAACAAAGCTCTTCCTAGAACTCTTCTTTACTGTGAAGATTCTCAAGCTTTACCCTGAGAGACTGGTTCAAGTAAATATTCCATGTATGTTTTTTGCATTTCCATTTTTGGCCGATACTTTATTTTCCCACTTTTTCATATGATAAATACATTCTATGAAATAGAACTTGATGGGCTCAACTTAAAGGTCTTAGGTGACCTAGTTTTCCTTTTCTGAGGTCTTTGAACTGAATTGTTTAGGGCCTTGGTATCTCCTTTCCACTGACTGTATCACAGCAAAGTAAGTCCTGTTTTAACATGAAGACCTGTGGCTGAGGTTGCTTGCACAATTGCCTAGGACATTTTAATCAGCCCTAATGACATAACAGATAGGTTTACTCTCATTTCTAGGTTCATGGAACAGCACCAGACATTGCAGGAAAAGACATGGCAAATCCAACTGCCCTCCTTCTGAGTGCTGTGATGATGCTGCGCCACATGGGAATGCACAAACACGCCTCCAAGATTGAGTCAGCTTGCTTTGATACAATTAAAGATGGAAAGGTAACGTGTGGGTGTGCAAATAAATGCACTGAATTAAAATCATGTCCTATCAAAGCAAGAATTAACAGGAAGATTCACACCAGGGTGGGGGATGGCCTGCTGAGCTAGCTTGTTGCATGAGCAGTGCCACTGTCCTCAGACAGTAATTCTGTTATCTTTGGTGATATTAAATAGCCCTGCAGTAATAAGGGGACAGGCTGTAGCATTCCTTCTGTCTCAGCAATGCTCATCTTAGATTTCCACAGCTTTATGAACTCCAGAATAGTGAACTGGATGGCTGCTTTTCAAGAAGGGGATCAGAGTTTTAAGCAACTCTTAGCATTTCACTTATAAAGTTTATGAAACCTACAAAGCATATATATTGACATCTGGATCCTGAAGTGAAGGACACTCATTTGCCTTTCCCAGGCTTCATCATCCACTTTGTTTATAGCATTTCAGTACAGACTGTAATACTTCTGTTTCTGTTTTTTCAGCTCAATTATTTTCTTTTTTCATTCTTACGGCTTTCACTCATTTTTGACTAGAAAAGAACAGTTTTTATCCAGTATTAACTTTTTTCTCTGAGAATTGTATATATTTCTCTTTGGAAGAGAGTGGCTTCAGATTAAGGACTCAGATGGGATACTGGGGGGAGAGGGGACTTATGCTCTGAAACATGACAAATTTGTGGTCTTACCAGTATTGATTCACTCTTCTAAATTCATGTCCATCTCTTGAAAACATAGTTGTCAAGATTTTGAAGATTGCAGTTAAAGAGGATTAGCTAGTCATGCTGGTTCATTTATTTTAGGCAGGACCATGAGAAGCTGCTTTGTAATTAAAAGTAACAAGAATGCTGAAACCAAAAGTTGTCATCATTTTGTAAGTTTGCAGCTATCTTGCTGTATGTAGGAGCCAGTTAAAATCTAAACTTACAACTGAATAAAGAGGTGCTCCTGTAAAGTTCCCACTCACTGCTCTGGAAATGATATCCTCCATCAGCAGGTCAGTAATTCCATGGAAGATAACAGTCCAAGTTTCGTGACATGGCTACTTACAATGTTACAATTATATGCTCACAATGGAGACAATCTTTTAATTGAAAAGCCCCATAATGCAATTTAAATTACAAGATCCTAAAATAGTAACCATGATTGCTTCTCTTGCTTGTTATTCCTTCCTTCCCCTCAAAAAGTTAATTAAGATACGTGTGTATGGGAGGGAAACTAATAATTTTAATTATCTCCTAGAGTGCTTTAATCTAGCGAGGTTGGAGTAATGTAATGGAGTAATGCAAGTAATGTTGCCCACTTTTTTATTTTTATTTTACTGTTTTCATGATGCCAGACAGGAGTTGTACTTGATGAAAGAGATTTTGAACTCTGTATTTCCTCTCTCTTAAATAAATGAAGCAAATTTTGAGAATTGTTAACACGCAGCACTAAGAGTTATGTGTGCTTGTTCTGCATGGGTTTTGTTAAAAAAAAGACCAAATATTTCTGAATTACTCTCAATTAGTTGTCCTTGTGCTGAGCCTTCATATATGAATTTTACTTCCAAAGGAGAAACTTCTTACTGAAATGTAAATACTTAATCATTAATTACACCATTAAAGCACTTTGTAGAGCTTTGACCACACACACTTTATTCCTGTAGTTAGGATAAAACCATGTTAAAATCACATTCAAATCTAGTAATGTTATAAGTACTATATGGATACTCAGGTTTTCTGTCAAAAAGGACTGTGCAGGGAGAAAGTCTCTATGGGATTCAGAACTCAAACTTGATGTATTCCTGCTCACCTTATTTACCATCCATAGACAACATATCATGAGAACATCCAGAATTGTTCAGAGACAAGACTGGCCCCATAATACATTTCAGTAAGGTTATGATTTTTCTTTCTTTCTTTCAGGTCTTGACAAAAGACTTGGGCGGCAACGCCAAGTGTTCGGAATTCACAGAGGAGATCTGCCGCCGAGTACAGGACAAAGACTAAACCTGCTCCTGCTGCTGCTGAGGACTCTGGAAGGACATGTCACAGAGTACAATATATGTAACCTGATATCCACATGCATAGAGTTTGCTTATCTCCTGAGAGCAAACTTTTTAGCTGAGGCCTCTCCATTAATAAATCTAGTCCAAATGGCTACAAATGATGCTTGTGCCTGCTTTCGGTGGACTTTTCCAAGTGCTTTGTTTTATTTATTTTTTTCTATCTGGTGAACATTTTTATGTAAGTGAATTCCTTTATTGGCACTGTAACTGTCTAATATTTCAATTAGAGAGTTTTACTTTCCACATAGAAAAATTAGGCAAACAAACCAGTAACGGATTAGTGAAATATAAATGCACCTTAATGTTTAAAACCTACTTTATTGATCTTGTTGAAATTAAAAAGATAGGTTTTCAGCCTAAGAGTAGCACAAGATGATCTTCATGCACAGAAACGGGTATGAAATAACTTAAAATAGCAATTTTGTGTTAGAAGCAACAAGAAAACCACTTTAATACTCTGGTGATTCATGAAATACAGCCCTGCCCACAAAAGGCATGAATTAAGAAATACTAAATTCTAGAGATTTAATCTATTTCTGTATTTAAACAAACTTACAACCATTAACAAGGGGTGAAAATTAATGCTGAAGTTATTTTTCAAATCTATATACCAAAATAATTCTTACAAGTTTTCCTCTCTGAAACACACTTTACAATAGAGTTCTAATGAGGACAAACAACACAAAATTACTTCCACCATATATCGTGAGAGGAAAGTATTAACTTTACAAATTTACACTAAATATTTCACGACTTTGGCTGGAATGCTTTTTGTGTTGTAGTTTCTGCACAGTCTGCTCAGTGTGTCGTGCTGTATTGACTAGTAATTTTATTCTAGAAACTGAATGTAAGAGACAAGTCCTAAATGGATTAAGACAGATCAGCGGTTTGGCTCTGGTGCCTATGTTCCAGAAATACATTTCATCCCTATTCAAGGGGATCTGAATCTATTTTTTCCTTGCTTACTAAGCTTAATGGGTGCAAAAGCAACTCGTTGCCCTCCCTTTGCCTCCCCATCAGATGCAGATTATCCCTCGAGTCATTCTGATCTGTAACTATCAAGGTATTGCTGCCATTCTTGCACCTGACAAGTAAATATGTATTTTCATACTTGTTAGTATAGCACAGGATTATCCCTCCTGCCAGAAGCAGGCTTCTTACAGCTTCATTTTATTAATAGAAAGCAACTAAGTGGAGTAATATCTAGTACGACTGTTTAGGGCTGGTTGTTTCAGAAGTAAAACAACTTTGGAGTAACAACTTCTTGTGTCACTCTCTAAAGTAAGCATCCCAGCTTTTTTATACAGTCTGACAACATGCTGGAGGAGATTTATTCCTCCCACACTCAGCTTTTTGTGAATAGGGCAACATTTCTTTCTGTGTTTTCCCAGCTGCTGCTTCCTTGTTTCCTTCAGATTAATATTGTTAAAGAAATTCTGAATTACCATTGCGCACAAAATGGGGAAGAATAAACTTTTCAAAGTCCTATTGCTCGTTTTGTTTTTATAATCCTAGGCTGCTGTTTTGTCTTATATATTGAGCTGATTATTGGTACTTGCAACAAATCTTAGGTCTGTAAGATGTGTGAGATTGGTAATGGAACGTTTATGGAAACCTTATCCTGTTCTGCCTCATTTCTTTGTCTCAATAACGGGCTGTGGCCTGCCTTGCCTGTGTGAGCTACTAGAGCTGTCTGCCAGAGATCACTTACAGCACACCCTTTAGACAACTTCATGCCAAGCATTTCCTTCTCATAATATGATTTATTTTGCATATGGGTAAGAAGAAATGTAGCCCACATTTGTCAGAATTAGTGCAATGTGAATACTGGAACATACAGATACACACTTGACAAACACTGCTCAAAGAATAGCACTGTAAACAATTTTAAAGAAGTTTCTGTAATAGCATTTTAATGTGAGAGCTCCTGTAGTTATTCCTTTGTGCCTTTCAGTCTTAGGAAGCTATTCCCCTACTTCTGATTATTTGTTTTTATGAGAAATAACAATGCTTATTCCAACATGGACTTAAGAAGCAAACTGCTATGTTCACAGAAGTGTGAATTCTAGACATTACAGAAACAAGAATATCTTCAGGTTCTGAAATGTGTTAGTGAACAAGAAAGTGTTCTCTGGGAAGGGAAAAAATATCCCAGCCCTTTTGATTTTTTAAACTTTTTTAATAATTATCACTGGAGTGGTATGACAGTTTCATTAGGTAGTACTGCTATCTAGCTAAATATATCATGAGCTGCAGGAAACATCCTGTAGAACAAAAGAAAAAAAAAAGAAAAATGGAAGACTGTATAAAAAACTTGTTATGTTTCAATCTAGAGGATTTAGTTATATCTGCTTTATACAACACAGAAAGATGTTTTAGTCATTAAGGTCATAAAGTAAAAGCAGTATTAGAGAATGGACACACTGTAGAAAAATGCTTCTGTAAAAAGAGGACAAATGATCAGGTGAGTATCAGGAACAATTAAATTGACAGCAGCTTTCAAGTGGTTTGGTTCAAGAGACTACAAACTTAAAGCAAAAATCTTTGTTAATGCTTTTGATGAGAAAATACTTCCTTTTGTTCACAGATCTTTCTTAATGCTTGGAGGAAACACTTTTTATTCTTTATAGAAGGAGTCTACTTCATTTCGGTATTTCTCGAGCACAGCGAGTCGCTTCAGCTTCATTGTGGGACCTTAAAAGAGGGAGAATCAATTCCAGAAATAGGAACAAAAATTCCTACTCAGTTTGAGCTTTGGTGCCTGAGTTTTTCATTGAAGAGCCTGTTGGGAAAAACATGCCTCCCTCTCAGCACAGATAAATGCTAAAAGTGAGAAGTAAGTGTGATACATGAGGTTGCCTCCACGTAGGCATGAGGACTTCAAAGGGAGCTGCAGATAAAGTGGTAACTGGCTACTGGTTTTTTGCTAAAAATACGTTTTTGGAAGCTTTTAAATGATTCCCAGTTTATTCAAAGAGCCTGGTAATGTGCTTTGGGCTCATTATCAGGCTTTCACTATCTTGCTGCTTTTTTTTGTTTTCTTTTAAGGAGAAACTTTTGATGCCTTAAGTTTTAGCTTTTATGTTTTCCAGATCAGGACTGTTTTAGTGTATAGCTCTCAAACTCCACAGCCTATCAGCTACTGTTCTCCCACTTAGTTCAGAAAAAACAGTTTCTCTCTAGGCCTGAAACCCAAGGCTACCTTATTTTCACAGGCCCTGAAACATGTAAACTACAGTGAAGTGGGGGGGAGGCAGGGGGCAAACTAGGGGAATGAGACTCCACTGCCCGAAGCTGTAACTGGACATTAACCTCCAATATGCAAACTGACCAAACAATATGTGATGGTTGTCCATCTTGGGTGTAGTCTCTGTGACACCCCTGCACTTTTATTGAAAGGCATTCACAAGATACATCTTGTGAAGGCCTTTCAATAAGAACCTATTCTTTCTCTTTTAACTCTGTCTAGCCTCTGTTCTAGGTAGCCATTCCAGGCATCACTTTCAGTATTATTACAGGAAGTTATTAATACTTTAATGCATACAGAATTTACCAAAATTGCTTAATTACCCCAAACAATCTGACATTTAAGAGCTCTACATGCAAATGAGCACAGATTCATAAATGTGTGCACAGCAAAAACTCCAATTTTTGTATTCATTACCACACACTGCATAACCATTTTTTCTTCCTGTACTGAATATTCTTAGATTAGCAGCCTTTTAACTTTGTGTACCTCAAGATAAAACAGTAAGTCTTACCTAGTTCTCCCCCAGAAATGGAGAAATCTCTTGGCAGGATGATCCATTTCTGAATGCAGTGAACCCTGTTGGTAGCAGTGCTGTTGACTCTGTCGATTCCCTCCTGGATGGCTCTGTAGATCGCCTCGTCTCTTGTAGCCACAATCTCGGACACTTTGGTGGCTTTACTACCACTCCTGTGGCAGAAGTCTCTGGCTTGCTCTGTGAGAATGTCAGTAGGGTCAGATGTATCTGGGTCCAGCACACTCTAAAATATCAAATGAAGTGAATCATTAAACATTCACTCTTAAAAGGCATTAACAGGTTCTCTGACCAGGCCCTCCCCCTTGGGAAGAAGGCTCAGGATAAACACACAAACATTCTGTAAGCCTTAAAAAGCAGAAACACCTACAGATCATGAAGGGCTTTACTTTCCACTTGGCTACCAATGTAAATATTTTCAGCTTATATGCAGATGTCATGAACAGACTTAAAACGTGTGAATGAATTAGGCCACAGAGTCCATCTCTGACCTTGAATTTCTGCCATATTTTCCAAATGACTCCATTGTTACAAGGAAACATTTAGCTCATGTTCAATGGAATTATTATGGTGTCATGTAAACAGCTTGAGATAGAACTGTCCCTAGACTTCTTAAATTACTATTTCTATTGTACCTGAAGATAGAGAGTATCAGTCATAGAGGTAAACAACTTCAAAACACCTAAGTGGCATTCACTAGGTATGTTCACAGAACTGAATTGCAAATGTTTCAGGAGAACAGTGATTTCTCAATTGAAGCTTATACTACAACAAGGCTATTAATTATTTTGTTCCACGGTCATCATTCTTGTGTTATAAAAATAACAAATTGCAGAGAAATGTTTCTGTTGGAAGGTTTCTGAGTTTGCCCATAACAGAAACATTTGTTGGTTTTGCTCATGTGTAAGCATAAAAGCTTATTGTTGTGTTCTGTAACAAAGACTTCTCAACCTCCCAGCATTTCTTATATAAAAATTTGCATTTAAATAGAAAATAGCTCTTATTGTACATGTAGGAGAAACAGCAGTAAATATGTGGATGTTTAGCAGACCAGGTAACCCTAGGTTTAGACCCAGCAGGATTTGTCTGTAGTTGCTACATATTTTTTCCCACTGCTAGTATCTTCCTATCTAATTTTAGGTCTTTTTACAAATGGTTCAAAATTATTCTTCTTTTGTTAGGTGCAGGTGTATAACTTCCCTGAAGGCAGTATTAAAACTGGTTTACCTTTAGGGTCAGGAACATTGACAAAAACTTCTTCTTATCTCCAATCACCATAGCATTACTAACAATTGGAAGTTCTTTTTTAACAGCAT